GCCACCAGGGCTGGAAACATGCATAGGCGGATAAACAGGACTGTATTGAGTCTGCTGCACGGATGGATGAGAAGATCTCCCAAGTGATGGTGAAGGGTAGGCGGCGGTGGCATATTGGTGCGCAGTCTGTGTATATGCGGTATCGTGAGCGTACGCTGTCCCTGGACCCAGCAGTCCAGGCATTCCGGTGAGCCCAAGTTGACTGAGGCTGTCAGCATCAAAATACGACGTTGGTGAGAACCGTCCGGATAGGTCCTGGGGTGCGCGATTGTTTCCAGTCACGTCCCGGCCAAGGGTCACAAGAAATTCATTAACCGCCGCAAGCTCCTCTGGTGTGCGGACGTCGAAAGACACTGAGCGAGGATTAAACTCGTCATAATGTGCACTGTCTTGTACATATGTTAGATTATTGAGACGCTCCACCATGTCTGTGAATTTGTTCGATCAGATACTTTTTGCGGATCAAATGAGAGTGTATACATACGGTTGTCGTAAGCAGGATTAACTTTCCTCTTCTTCATTTCGGTGAAGAAATCGTCGACGGTGTAGTCAAGCGACCTCTTGTTGCGATTTGAGACGCGTGAGTCGGATTTAGTGCTGTCCCATGAAGGTACCTGATTGTGGAGAAAGGGGTCGTATGACGGATGAGGCACATGACGAGGATGATTATCAAGTTCCGGAGAGGGAGTGGGCAAGGCACTGTAGTGGCCACCTAAGGTCCGACGTTAGCGGATGTCATGGTGGAGATCGAGCGACTAACCGTCTGCACCTATAGCGGAACGTGGGCGTGCGCGAGCGAAAGGGACTTTGGAAGGCAACGCGCCCGGGGCTGGGCCTTGGAGTTTACCAGAAAGCGACCTATTGAGAGCGCCTTTTGATGGGACAGCCTCTCCGCGAACACGGGAGGCGTAAGCGGGATCATTTACGGTAATTGCCTTGGAGTGCTTGTGCTGCGCATGGTGCTCCTCTGTGTGAATTTTCTCGTGTTTTTTGAGATCTTGGGGACGCTTGAATGACTTTTTGCATATCTGGGGAGGAGTGAGTAAAACTGAACGGGGAGAAAAAACCGCAAAATATATCGAACCTCACAGACATGCGGCTTCAAGGGAGTGTGAACTAGGAGGTAGTTTATATTAATAATGAAATATAATAAGCGATAGGAAGGGGATACCTCTGAGGTGACTTGTGATATGATCGCGTTTAGCACAGGAGGTGCCACAATCCTTCCATTTGCAAGTGAGACATAAGTTATTTGTACTCTTTCGACCGATATGGTCGTTGCAGAGATGATTGTAGAGAACCTCTGGATCTGTGAAAGTCGCTGAGCAATCTACCCATTGACAATTGTATGATGATTCTGAGTGTGATGGAATGGAGACTGAAGAGTCTGGTGGTGGTGGTGATTGTGAAAGAGCTTTCAAGGATGAAGCAGTAGAGGGAGGAGGAGGAGGAGAATCTGATGGAGGTTGCATGAGGTAGCCAAGTGGGATGAAGTCTGGGACAAGAACGGTCGCGGAGTGTAAGGAAGTCATTTTGATTTTATAAGAAGGCTGGTTCTCCTTTGTATGCCAAGACAAGACAGAGTCTTGGCGTATAAGAATGCCAGCGTGCCAAGAAATTGCTTCCTTGGCACCAAGACCGATCACTAGTGTCGGAGATCACCGTGTTCGATTTTAACCCCAATTGGGTTACCTTCCGGTTGAATTCGGAATACAACGTTAAAGCAAGTTTTGACCACTCTCGCCTCCGTCAATCTCCATCTAGCTTTCCCCTAGAAGTCCACCGTGTGTTCTAGATCAGTTTTTTTGTATTCTACTCACACAAGGAACGGAACGGTGTCAGAGTCAACATGGACCACCGGACTTTCACTGTGGGGTGGTGCCGACTGTGCCGTGACCCGGATGCTACCGAATTCTCATATACCAGCTCTGCCAGCACTCTAACGGGATGCCAGGTACGGACTACGCAACCGCGACGAAGCCGACATGTGAACAAACTGTCCTCTGAGAACTGATAAAACTCAAACTGCTAATGCTCTTATGCGCTGGCTCTTCCGTTTCTTCGCAGAATTATCGGTAATTTATTAGTAAAATACTTATTCCTCGAGCATGCCAAGCACACAATTCCTAATTGGGAATGAATTTCATTTCAGTTTGACAGACTCTGACTTCATTTGCCAAGCCAGAGCACCGCCAAGAACATTTAGTGCCAAGCTTTGGTGTACTCCTGACAACTCAAGGCTGTCCCTTTGCAGTCCTTGGACCGCCTTTCAATTCTGAACCAGGTGTACAAAGCTTTCTACTGCGCACAACAAGCGGCGTCTACTCCGCGTGTTTATCGAACCGACTGACGGGTCCGAAGGATGAGTGGCACTAGTGAGAATGATACTTTTCTTGTGGACGGCCTTTCCATAATAACCGGTCCCTTCGCAGTATAACCGCAGATCCAGTGGCCTAGAGCAGCCTTGCCCTCAGCGGTAGTCAACTGGAAAAGAAGGTCTTCATACTGATAAAGGTCACGCGGTAAATTTCTTTCATGACCCCTCGAGCACCTGTTATGCAACTTCGAGCATTACCACGAATCTCAAACTAACGACATGGGCAGCAAATCGCATTCATTAAGGCGGGCTGTAAGGTGGACTGTAATCAAGAACTCGAATGAGTCGATACAAAGTTTGGTACCTTGCGTTCCAAACCCTAAGATACAAGTAAATCCTTTTGAAGAATGACGTTGGCCCGGGCGACCGTATCGCTGTGCGGCTATAGGCAACCGAGGCTTCGTGAGATTGCACGACCTTACACCATAGTCTGAATCAGGGCAATGAGTCATGCATAATCTCCTCGGAAGGGATACCAGCGATAAATGAACACTGAACCTCTTATTTAAATATTATTGAAGCCGCTCTTATATCGAGATTGCTCTTTGCAAAAATGGAGTGGACACCCCGCTTGCATAAATGACACTAGTGCGATCCTTTCAAGTAGGCAAAGCTAAAACTTGGCGAGAAATATATGCCAAGGAGGTGAAAAAAAAACCCTACATGGAAACATAAAAGGCGACCTGTGAGCGAGCGCAAAGCGAGCGTCCCATCCAGGTACACATGTCAGCAATGATTTTCATTACCGTCCACGCTGCCAACAAACGATATACACTGAGGGAGTATTTATTAAAAAGATACATACGCACAAATATTTTAGGGTACCATTGTCCATGCCGAGTGCGCCCCAAACACCTGTACCTAATCAGAAGCAACCGTTTCAGTAGATATACCTCTAAGAGGTTAACCTATCTCGAAGAAGACCTACAGCAGAACACAACCCGTGATATCACGTTTGGCACGAGGTGGGAACAAACTCCATTCACGGCATAGCAGACTAGCGCGAATCAGCTACTATCACTTATCGTGTATTCGGACATGCCAATTTATCGACTATCATGTGAGTGTATTAGGAGGTATTACGCCGGCTACTGCAGAGTATATTGAATGTACTTACCGAGGTGCATCTAAAAGAGATACAAATAATTTATGTAACTCGGTGGAAATGCGACACCTGAAACCAGTTTCACATCCTGTTGGTTACCGCCCGCTTATATGAGCTCTGTGGGTATCAGGCTGCACATTAAAGTTAATAGGTACGACGGAACGAGAACAGATGGCTATATGCATACCAAGCGGCTGCTCACGACGACGGCAGCGTCAACGTCCGTACCCGAAAACCCCCGACTCGGATACTGTCACTGCAAGCGAAGGCCCGCCGAGAGGAAATCCGAGTCAGCACTTGTCAAAAGTCATTTGAAGCAACACACCTAATAGTAGACTGTTCACACCATCACTGCGCCGCCATGATCACGGGCTAACAATAAAGAGGTCTTAACCCACGCAAGACAGCCCACTGATCGGGTCTCTCGGGGTGCTGTGTTGGTGTCGTTGGTACAGTCATGCGAGGTGCTAAATCGGTGGGCACCAAGAGATTGTTGAAGTCGAGTTGGACGGAAGGTTTGATCATCACGGAAGTGGTGGTTGGTTAGATATTCGGCAAATATGAGGAAGTGCACAACGTGGACATGGGGATAGGATCAAATCTCTTGTTTCAATCTCTCCCTCACTGGGCCGCAAGCGAATCACAACTTGGATGGCCATCACCATTCTACGTTGGACTCAAAGTCCAGCGTATGTTTTTGTCCCGATGCAAACACGGTAACGACATAACGCGTTGTCACGTGCAAACTGGTCCATTAAGTTGCTTTTGATTCTGAATACAGTTTACTCAAACACCATGTCGCGATACCCAGACTATCTTTCACCGAACGCAACCCCTTCTAAACCATCCAACTCGCAAAAGTCAAGAGCAAGACGCGAGCCATCCGGTGTTTTCTCCTTGTTTCAGGCACCTCAGATCCAGCTGTTCAAGGAGGCATTTCAACTTATCGACCACGACAAGGATGGCTGGGTGACGGAATCTGATTTGCGAGAAATATTCTCAAGTCTTGGTGAGGTTGCACTCGTTGATTAACAAGTCGAGCGCTCATTCAGGTTTCAGGCATTTCACCATCGAAGAGTACGCTAGATGGCCTGCTCAGCGCGCGCCCTGGTGGCCCTGGGCACAGCAAGTCGCCTCCTGTGACTCCTTCGCGCGACTCGTCAGTTTCATCAGACAGAGGTATCAATTTCACCATGTTCCTCACCATGATGAGCGAACGACTTTTCGAGTTCGATCCAGAAGCTGAGTTGAGGGAGGCTTTTGAATGTTTCGACGAGGGCGACACGGGTACGGTTAAATCTGATGAGATGCAGAAATGGATGGGAGAAGTAGGAGAAAGAATGGATCAGCAGGAAGTTCGTTTGAACTTTGCACCTGTTCTCACCGTCCGAGTGGCTGATTTCGTGTCCAGATTGACAAGTTCCTTAAGAGTTCATTCACTGATCGTCAAGGAAATTTCAATTACCGCGAATGGATTAAAGTGATACGAGTGAATGATGATGGTGATGAAGCAGGACCTGACATGACATGACATGACATGACATGACATGACATGGACAAGACGAGAAAACTTGTGCGAACATTTGTATTTTACCCATTGACTAGCATAGTATCATTACCGCAATTGCATTCCTCGCAGGTCCGCAAGAAAACTCGTGATATGGCCACGTAGCCTTTCATATTAACCGTGTTATGCCCACTCCCCTTTGAGAGGCTCTCCTGGGAATTGGTCCTTATTAAAGGCCAGTTCCTTAAAGATTTGTTCGACTCGTTCCTCCGATTCATAGCGGCTGACTTCTTCCAAAGCTAAACTCCAGTAAATATTTAGCTTCGGGATGATAGGACCAGACGTCACCTTCTCCCCGCCCATTTCCGAGGCTCTGATCATTTCCTTCCGTTCCCGTACGAGCGGGAATGAGAAGTAATTCGGCACCTTCGTGCTCCAGAAGTTCAATACAGTTACAATTGGTGAATCGGAGCCCAATCGACGAGCGTCCTTTTTCACCTCTTCCAAATACGTGTTTCATGATGCCTTCTGAATACATTGCACGTCGACTCTCGGGCAATCCTACACGTTGACCAGCCTGAGCTTCTGCTTTGGGATTTTTGACTTGGATTACGAAAGAGGATGCAATATGAATCCCAAGTGCTTTCTGGACATCTCCCAACTCGGTCGGGTGTGAAAGGTGGTATCCGAGATGAGTGGCATTTCTTGATGGGACATTCCCTTGAGAGTTGACAATCGCATACACACCACGGCCTGCGAGGCGAACGGGTGGTGTGTGACGTGTACCTGACGACGGTTTCAAAATGGAATCGTCACTAGGGGTAAAATCATACCCCGAGTTTTTGTCTCATAAGTCTTTTCCCCCAACTTCTTCTCCAGGTCATGTAAATTGTCGCCGAGGAATATTACTGTCGCCCAAATTGGGACGTGCCTTTCGCTTTCAGGGTCAGGGAGTTTCTTCTTCCCCACAATGATCAAGCGGAAATGTTTTTTATCCTTTGTCGTTGATTCAGGTGGGGGTGCAGCGTCTGCGCCTTGCGCCACAAGGTTCATCTGCTCCGCATCTGCACCGGAGACATCTTTACTCTGCTTAATTTCGCCTTGCACGGTTAAGGACTCGGATGAACTAGGGACAAGGAGCATATGGAGCTTGCCGACATCGTCCATAGAATGAACTTCTTCACGTTGGACTTTTGGGCGGTAGAAGAAGTATATATGACCACGCTCGATTACCCCTGAATAAAATAGGTTCGATGATAATGAAGCACTCGGAAGAATACACTAACCTGGGGTGAATGCATATTCAGTTGTATCAGCTTCTTCTGTCTTCAGCCTCTTCGCCTCCGTCTCTTCTCCTGTTTCAGCTTCGCGCTTCTCACCGACCTCCTGTTCTATCTTCACTTGTGCAGAGTTGTCCTCATTCTTTATTCGCCTTTGTCTTCGGGGACTCCCACTAGAGCTCATACTATGGGCGTTGTATGTCTCAACTGGCATGTTGTGATGGTGTGATGAGGATTACATTGGGACAGCCCCGTTGACGTCATAGTCGCTGTATGGGGTCGCCCTGACCGTGCTGCTTTGTTGATCTTTATCCCCATTGATGGCGATGCTCGCGGAGACGGGCCCGCTATAAAGCCTATCGACCTCCTGTTTCATCCTGTTCCTCGACAGCGCACAGCTGGCTGCGCACCAAGAAATAATATGTATATCTGTGACAAGGTCGTGATGAGTCACGCACCCCTGGGTAAGACCGGCTATTTAGGCGCTTTTCCTTAACTTGGCGGCTGCAGTCACAAGCTTAAGCAGCTCTTCATGTCTGCTCTCAAGTTTGCAGTTTCTGCGCTCAACCGCGAGAAACCTCATGTAAGTTCAGGATATCGCTCTTGCTCGCTCAGACAATTACGATCCGCTGCAGTCATCTATTACCGATTGGGTAGACATTCTCACCTCACCTTCATATAATGATGAGGCGTATGATGGGTAGGGACAATAGTATCTTGAAATGGATGCGAAGCTCATTCAATGTTTTTAAGAATACCGGAACTAGTAGAATCAATTGCGCTACAACCAACAGGGTGCGCTTGAAATCCGGACCTAACATTGTTTAATGGTAGTAACCGTTGATGCGTTGGGCGTCCACCCCTTACACTAGAACTCCCGAAGCATCCAGAGCAATACGAAAGAAGCTCAAGCATGGAGACGCACATCATCAGTACCGTGCACTTGTCGTACGTTTAAATTCCTTATCGGCGGAAGCAGATTGACTGATAGGACTAGATACTGAACGCACTTGTCGACAATGGTCCCCAGAAATTTCAAAGTGAGTTTACATGCAAATATGCGACTGGCTTTGGCTTATGACAACAGCCACGTTTGCCGACGGCCAGCTGGTTGACGCCATAAAGCAACTCTCAACTGATCCAACGACGGATCAGAAAGTTAAGAAGAAGCTCATGGTCGTTCTTGCATCATGGCACTCCCAGTTCAAGGATGATCCATCGATGTCCGTTGTTGCAGGTCTCTTCAGACAATGTCGTCCTGCAGATCGTCGCAGCCAAGGATACTCAAATAATGCAGATCCACTAAGTCACGGGCCATCATCTGACTACGAAAGGAAAATGAAAGAGAGGGACGAAAAGGAACTGGCGAAACAACAAGCTAAGCTGGAGAAGCAAGAAGCGAAGAAAAGGGCACGTAAAGCTGAGGAAGACGCAAGGAAGAAGAAGGCCCGGTCCCGCCGACCCCCCTTCGACTTTGAAGCTGTGCGTGACCCCCATTGCCAGGCTCGTGATCTGCCACCAAACTAACACGATAACAGGAGAAGCCGCAAATACTGACAACCATCGCTAACGCAAGTCAAGCGTCCAGTAACCTGGTAAATGCCATAAAGCTGGTGAATAGCGAGAAAGAAAGCGTGGTCTCGAATGAACGCGTGCAGGAGTGTCTCGGGAAGGCACGTGCTATCCGTAAGCCCATAGTGCGCTATATCCAAGTCTGTGTTTCTTTCTTTTGCTGTTGATTTAGTTTCTCATGACTTAAACCAGCTCGTGGAGAACGAGGAAATAATCGGAGCGTTAATCGAGACGAACGAGCACATTATCACCGCCCTGCAAATGTATGTCAATGTAGGTGGCCGCTTTCTAGCATAAATTCGCTGTTCAGTGATCTGCGTTCAGCTTTCAGCTACCGATCAGACGACGGCGTCAGATCCTACAGCGAATATACAAGCCGCAATGGCGACGACACACCTCAGCCCAAATAGTACAGGCGAGCTGTCGGTTCAGCAACGAGCAGCTGTAGAACAATACAAACAGCAACTACACGATTATGAGGAGCAAGAAAGAAGTAGGAATCATATCCACGAAGATCTTCGAGATCTATCATTTGGTTCTCTGGGTAATGAAGAGGGGAAATTGCCCCCACCCATGAGACCAACCGCACATCGTAACATTTCACCGGATTCGGAGTGGGATCAGGGTAGGGGAAGTCTCTCTGATTTCAGTGACTACGAGAGCGATGGAGAGGAACAACTGAGAAACGTCGCACACCAACCTGCAGCGTCTTCAAGCTTGCGACGCTCAGAAAGAATCGTGGATGACGAGGATCCATTCGCCGATCCGTTTGCGGATTGATATCGAAGTATACCCAGAGGGATGACCGCCGTGGGATAGGCAATATATTTTATGCACATGTAGTCAATCTTTCGTCATCTCTTGTAATAACAGGTTCTTGCTGGAATTATATGATGATACTAGAATGAATTATACTGCATTAGAAGAAGTGTTTGGTACATTGTGCGGTACTCCTGCTGAAGTCCCGACTCCCGAGGAACAAACGCATGCAAAATCCACTAGACATCAACCTATCTTACAGTACAGCTTGCAAGGATGAAGCTTCAAAATGATGGCGACGAATAAACCAAAATCTGGGTTGTCAACCACTTTCTATACCGCTATCCATTTCATTGTTCACTACTTGTTCACCGTTTTGAGGAGATGCGCCGTTCATTTGTTGTTGGTGTTGACGAACATCTTGATGGGACTGCTGGGGCTGCTGATGCTGATGAGGGGCCATCGTGCCTCCGTGCATATTCGGGCCAAGGACTCCAAAGCCTGGGCCCCCTACAACGCCCATCGGGCTTTCCAAATATAATCGGATGAGAACGCTTTCAAGAGCAACGACAGTAGGCCCGGGGTAATCAAATGCTCGAGCATGTTCACGAATGGAGTTAAATAGAATGCTCATGCGGTCCCACAATTCTTGCTGAGATGGTGAACCCTGAGGAGGACCGATGTGAGGATAGCCGATTGCCGGAGGTCCAGGGAAAGCAGAGAACGGATGGGGCAGATGGGCGAGTGGAGGGTTTGAAGGATAGTTTTGGACCTGTGTTTGAGATGAAGTAGATGAGCTCTCCTGCTGCGTGGCAGCGGGGGCCGTAGAAGCTGCTTGTATGGCGCGCTTCGATTCTTCCTTCTCGGCTAGAACTGTTTGCCGCCTACCGCGACGGGTAAATGGCAGGTTTGCCAGCCCGATTGGATGCGAATGCTCAGCAATGTCTATGAGATCGTTCAGGCAAGGCGATACCCCCGACACTTGCATGAATACTCACAACAGACTCGAACTTCATCAGTGTCATAATAAGTCTTGTAGCTGATGGACGCCAGACACCCCTGCCCATCAAGCTGAGGGAATGCGTGAACAGGCTATACTGTAGATCGTACTACTGATACGAACCTTCCTACTGGGTACCTTGCGAACGCGCTCTGGATGTTTCTTTACATACTTCTTACGACCGCTCCTTGAATGCCGGGCACAAACTAGTTTAGTGTGGTCCTTGAAACGGGGAGGAACTGCCTTGCTGCCATGAGTGTCGCCCTTCACGAATTCGACCATCTGTGTTTCTTCCTCGTGAGCCCTCCATTCCTGAAATGCAGCGAGATTTGGGAATATAAGAGTGTATCCATCGTCACTATCGCCACAACCGTAAGGTGACCTTGCAGTTGTCGACTTTGGGGGCGCAGGTATAGCAAGGCTAGAAGGTGCTGCGGGTGTCGATGTGGATGATGGGGGATTTTGTGAATAAGTTTGCTGCTGATTCTGTTGCAAATGTGGAGGCAAAGGCTGGGACAGAGCCAGTTGCCCGAGCCTGAAATGCTGGAAACTCATTTTTGACAAGGATTCCGAACAAAAAATGGTTGGGATGAAAGCAAAAAGGTGGAAAACTGGTCCCGCGTGTGACAACTTTATACAATGTCACGTAACATTTTTGTCACACGCTTTCCTTTCTTCAACATTATGACCTCCTCCCTCAGAAATTCGTTGCATAGGCGAAATCATAAAGAGCGCTCGCAGCTCTCTCATCGCGCAAAATTTGGAATTTTAGAAAAGCACAAGGACTATGTTCAACGTGCACGGGATTATCACTCCAAGCAGGATCGTATAACGCGCCTTAGGCAGAAGGCAGCGGATAGGAATAAGGATGAGTTCTACTTTGGGATGAACAAGGAGAGGACGGTGCAGGGGGTGCATGTCAAGGATAGAGGAAATGTTTCTATGCCTATGGATATGGTTAAGCTCCTCAAGACACAAGATGAGGGCTATGTTCGGACAATGAGAGCCAACGGAATCAAGGCATACATTTTATGCGTGCTTGTATTGATTATTCGACTTATTCCTTGACAGAAAATCGAGAGGATCAAAAGCCAACTTACTGCCTTGGCTAACCTTATTGCCCCGCAGGATGATAACATAGAGGATGACGGCGAGGACGCGTTGGACGAAACTGACCTGGAAACACTTCGAGAGGCATGTATCATACCGCCAGGAACAAAACGGCGTCCACCCCCACGTCACATTATCTTTGCTGAGAATGAGGTGGAAGGCGAGTGTATTTGTGACGCCGTATCGTTTATGTCATAATGACATATACACCGCAGCAAAACAATTATCTCAGCAGCAATATTCAAACCAGGCCAAAACTACGATTGAAGTGGATGTCGAACTGACTGAAGTTGATCTCGGCTGGAAGACCGTGGAAAGTGCATCGTCTCGACGGAGACGGAAAAACAAATGCTCAGCCGTTGTATCAACGGATATTGTCGATGATGCTGAAGAAACACGGCAACTTAATGTGGTATGTCCATATTTTCTTGTTGTCATCCGCTTCCTGAGAATTTTCACTCAGCAAAACCGGAAGCGACTCCTAAAAGAACTCGCTGCGCGACTAAAACGTGATACCCAATTGCGGTATACACAACGTGAACTAGAGATGCAAAGACTTTTGGCGGGTAAGGGAGGTCGGCGGAAGTTGCGTGGCGTCGAAGAAGTAGGGGCTGAGAACGATGAAGATGAGGACGAAATGGACGACGCGGCAGCTTCTAAGGCAAGCAAAGTGGATGAGAAGAATTACAAACCTCGGGTATACAAGTGGCGTATAGAAAGAAAGCGATAGTATTATCGAAGTCCATGACAATCCATTGTGTAGCTCGACGAGTATAATGCGAGTGTATATTATACGAATTCAGTCCCAGATCCGGATCAAATGATAGATTGCTAAATGTAGAAGGCGCCGAACGCTATGCTGCCTATAACCACCCAAACTGAGCTCCACCGACTGAAGCTTAAGTTCAACGAGGATGATGTCGCACTCGGTGAGGTTGAACCTGTTCCTCCCGGAGTCGCAATGGGCGTGGCAGGTGAATAAGTAACGCCATTAGCGGTGGCAGCGACTTCGAACACAGATCCACCACCGTACTCATAGAACTTGGAACCATCAGAAAGAAATCCATGAAATAGTTGGATGTACGTACGTCAACAAGCATGAAGTTTGGGTTTCTGCCCTGTTGGCCGGTGCAGAGACTGAACTGCTCACCCAGGGAATTTGAACCGGTGACAGCATTGGTTTGATTAGCTTGACTTGGGTCCGGAGCAGGTTGGCCAAGGACCAACGTATCCAAGAAGTGATTAATAAGGTACATAGATGTAGCAGTGGGGGTATTGGCGTTTGACCGGTTCACATTGCAATCAAACGACGTGGTGACGTCATACGCAGTTTCCCAGATGTTGGTAAATTCTGGGGATAAAAGTATTAAGCACAGTCTCCGCGGGCTCAACTGTGTAACACACCGTCAATGATGTAAGGAACGGAGTTGAAGTTGGCGTTGGAGTCCATGAAAGTTATCAATCGCGTTCCCGAATCGATGAGGCTGCCAAGGGTCGGCCAATTACTTTCAAGTAGCGAAGAGGAGGGCGGCGAGTAAGACATTGTGTCAAGCCCAACCGCTTTGAAGACAGTGTCGTAACTACTCGGTGGAAGAGTATCAGAGTTGACAATGAGCAATGAAAGTACTGGAAAAGATATCTTGAGAAATGCCGGAGTTCTGCCTTCTATCATGAAGAGTACTGACCTTCATTTGGATTGGCGTCTAGCCAGGCTTTGACTATATACCAATATATGAGGAAAGCAACCTGAAGGTGAATTTGGATTCTCACCAGTTGTGAGGTAAGCCTGAAGGGTTCCGCCATCCAAGAGCGACTACAATACAGTGAGTACGGCATGTCAATTGGCACAACAAGTACGTCACATACACAACTCGTGTGGCAAAGATGAATGACTCCACTCGAGTTATGAGCCTGCATTTGTAGCATTCGAATCCCGTCATTCAGCTGTTGTGTAACTGACAGGAGTCATTTTAAATAAATTTTGAAATAAGTTTGTGCTCACTGTTGTAGTCCTGGGTTGCGAAAACTTCAGGAGAATAATCGAGTAAGTATCTGCATGTACAAGGACATTGAAACTCACTGTTGTTGGTACCAACAGCATAAGAATCATGGGCACCGACAAATGTGACGTTTCCGAAACTACGGGTACACAGATCAGGACTTCCATTGCAAATCGTGGCACGGCGAAGCGGCGATTCGGTGGGCGAAGCATAAACCAAGTTAGAAACGAGTGATATCATTGCAAAAGTGGACAGAGCGACCTGCGCCCAGGTGAAAGAAAACGATGGCATGATCAATACGTTCGAAGCAAGTGAGAGACGACAAAAATTATAGAAGGGGACTAGTTTCAGGTTGCATAGCCTATATAGAAACCACGCCACTGTAACTGCGCCACCGCTGCATGATGTAAAATAAGGTACAATTGGATTACCACACATGGTGAGATGGCCGAGCGGTCTAAGGCGCCAGACTAAGGATCAGCTCATTAGATGAGCAAGTTATCTGGTCCTCCGGGGCGTGGGTTCGAATCCCACTCTCATCAATACTTTTGCTGCGTTTCGCCATGAATTTTTCAAGTGCGTTAAATATAATTCCCGCTGCCCTCTTCGACAATATTATATTATGTACATGAGATTTGCGAGAGGTACCGCGAAAGTAATCCTCAGAAGGCGGTTGTGACGATCGTAATGATACACAGTGCGATTCGGAAACGAACGCAAGAAGTAGTCGATTAATTTTCCAGTAATAGATAGCTCAATCACGTCAAAGTTTCTGTGATACTGAAATGCACATGGTCCCCCTCGCCTAGGGTAAGCCTGACTGGCAGACGGGGATCAATGCGCACAGGAGCGCTTGAGCCAACAAAAAAGTCTCCACGACTAAAATTCCTAGTGATGGCGGCTGCCTCTTCCTCTGTGAGATTACGGGGCCGTTTGTTGGGCCGAAAGGTAGATGAAGATGCGCCAGTAAATGCACCATTGTAATCATAATATTGATGCTGGCTGAGAGTAGGTGCTCCATGGACATATCCCAGGGGTGCCTGAGCAAATGTAGACACACCAGGAGCTGAGAGATTACAAGATCGTGAATAAGTAGACTACGTTTCAGCGAAGTCAAATAATTACTTTGATGCGACTGATTTTGGTCGCTTTCAGGATCTGGATATGCGCATGTTGCACCGATACCTCGTTTTAAGCAGCTCTAATGGGAGGTACGCGGTCAATTTATTGGAGAACGAATATGTTTGTTCGAGATCTGTACCAACCTGGCATGGTAATACCTCACTACAACGAGTTTTACCGGTATGACATGCAGTACATGCTCGCCTTACTGAAGGGGCTTTTGCTGGACATTATATATACATATATGTGTCATCGTTGACGATTATGGTGCCAAAGCTCACCTTTACGAGTTGCTGTTGAATCGTTGACTGGCGATGGGCCATTGGAGGGATGTTGCTGCTGCTGCTGCTGAGCGTCGGCAGCATGTTGATGAAGTTGATGTAGTTGTTGTGCGTCCATGGCCGACGCCGCGTCATGCGCCGGTGTAGATGCCTCACTAAGAGCCGACATGGGTGTTGCGGAGCGGTGAGGTTCCGACGCTGTTCGGTAAAGCGGGAATATAAGTAATTCATCGGAGCGAATATACCTATTTAATTGATATTTATCTCCATTTATGCGTATTTGTACATCCGGTAGCTTCCGCCACACCGGCCAAGGCATGGTTCTGTGCCGTAATTACCGTACCGGTAATCGATTCATTCCGGGTCGGTAACAGTTCTTGCCTGCACCACCATGTCATCCCAATCTCCGTCTCAGCCACCTCCCTTCTCCGATTTCGAGTATGTATTTGATCCTGCTCTCGCAAGTTTATCCCCTCCTCTACTTCCCATCCCATCATCTGCAGACCTCTTCTCTCCGTCCGAAACAACTGATCTGCTAGGATTCTTGGACAACTTTAATTGGGATTTCGAATCAGATCCCGCTCTCACTGCGCCCTATCCTGTGCAGCAAAGCGCGCGCGATCTAGATAATTCGGGAGAAATTATGTCGCCGATACTTCCAGAGCGATCTGAGATACCATCAGATACTTCAAACGCCAGACCTTCATCTTCATCATCCGCAACTTCGTCTTCTCCCTCGAAACAAGATTCAACAGGCACAAAGCGCAAGAGAGCTTCTGCAGCCCCGTGTCAGACGGGGAGAGCCAAAGTCCTTCTATCGACCCCTCAGAAAAGACTCAATCATATCATGTCAGAGCAAAAGCGTCGTAACGCCATTCGTGAGGGATACGCCCAGTTGATCTCCCTTCTCGCCCCAGCTGGTGCACAGGCTATTGATATGCCTACTAGGGGCAGACCAAAGGGCAGCGGTAGCAGGGGGAAGGGTCACAGCAAAGGCAAGAGCGGGGTCCTCTTTCGAACAGTTGAATATTGCCGGTGGCTCGAGGAAGGGAGGGATGCTTTGATAGATGAAGTACTTCGTCTGGAAGCAGCCGCAGGCATTGTCTACCCGTCTCCGTAGTAACGGTATGCACCAGTTTTATTAAGACAATTTTCCGAAACCGTAGTGAGTAGTTCGGTCTTTATGCGTCCGGAGCTCATCAGTCTTCTAGAATATAGGAAATGCATTCCCCTTATCCACTGCCAGTTCAGGGTTACAGAACCCTGGCGGCTCCTTGTAAAACATGTCCACAAATTCCCATTTTTTGCTTGCGGCTGCAGCTGTTTATATTGTATACTTGGTCGAATTTCTCGACGTGAATTGTATTGTACCTTTCCATAATTCTTATCATGCCTTTCGACGTACTGCCACATAAATACACACAGTTTCTCTTTCTTTAGGGACCGCATATTGAATTGCAAGGCTATGATTTTCTGTCCGGCTACTGTCTTGTCCGCTTCCCACCTACAGGTCGACATAAATCAAACACAAACTTGCCTTTCAAAATCCTGTGGTTTCAGAGTACAATACCAGCGGCGTGTGTGCCAAGATCCGCCTTGATGCCAGCTAGTGTCTACAAGTGGTGCGTCAATTTTCTGAAGCGGGACAACATTTTCTTCGGGATATTGTCTGACCGACTAATATTGTTTGGCCCCAGCACTTGCCCTCTTGCGACCGATTCGTCGATCGGTTGAATATTGAAGGGCGATATCACGGACAGAACTCTCAACAACTATTCGCCTTGGGCTGTGTATTTAGGCGGGTACGTATCATGCGGTATCGCGTAATCTTCAGCGCTGACTCGGAACGTATGCATCATGCATCTACTAAGTGTGAGCCTCCATATGTATGGCAGCCAAGAGTAGAAAGAAGGACGCCATGAGGGACGCCGCTGTCTACACAAGCGTGCATCTCGGAGAGCCGGAAGAACCAAATAGATTTGGTTCCTGGATCCGCAAAGGTTGAGGGCGAGGATACAGGATGAAGAATTTATTAGGCTCAAGGTCGGTCACGAGGTGCATCCTACTCACATGTGGCTCCATATATTTGTAATCTGTCTACGGCGGTGCTCCTCTCAACCATGTTTACTCCTTCACGGCGTTCGCACAGTAGCAACGGTACATCTCAAGCTCCAAGGGCTGTCTCAAAAATTGCATGTGTCGTATTTCTCGTACGCAAATATTGGGCTTAACATACAATATTTGTTAGCCCATTAACAAGTCCGTATGATACTACAAATACACTGGGAAGAATATTTCAGGCTTATGAGCGCATAGACCTACGAAGGCATTGACAAATCCAATAGAACAAACAGTCACATATTACAGAACACTCCTGTGCCACTTGTCCTCAACACCATCAGCCATCGTCAAGTATGGCATCAAGTCACTCGTCAAAAACTCGCTTGGCCATTGTTGCCTGACTTGATCCATGAGATACTTCGTAGCAATTTTCAAGTGATCATCCTTGACACTTGGGGCGATCTTCTGGACGCCGGATGCTTGCTCTGCGATAATGCGGTCGACATACGGCGCGGTGATCTGCTCGCCAGTATCAAGACGTGAGCTGTACTTCACCCACTGCCAGAGCTGCACCCGTGCGATCTCAGCAGTAGCGGCATCCTCCATCAAGTAGCTGACAGGGATGCAGCCATTGCCACCGATCCAAGCTCCGCAGTAGGCGAGAGCCACAGAGACATTGGAGCGAATGCCGTCCTCGGTAATCTTTCCGGGAACATTGGAGCTCAGCAAGTCCGCCGCAGCGACTTTCACATCCTCACGTCGGATGTGATACTACAACGTATGGATGATAAGCATTATGAATTATGACAGAGATAAAAATGTCGCAGATGCGAACCTGATTAGGACCCAGCATATTTTCGTCAAACACCTTGCGAGCGATCTGGTTGATCAAGGGGTGCGCGATCCACGTTCCATCATGGCCAGCCGTGACCTCGCGAAGCTTGTCTGCTCGGACCTTCTCCATTGCCACCTCGTTGGCTTTAGGGTCATCTTTAATGGGAATTTGTGCAGACATGCCGCCCATAGCAGCAACCTTCCTCCTAAAAACACGTGTAAGCACTATGATAACACGCAGAAAATAGCCTTACCTGTGGCAAGTTTGGATCAGAAGACGCACATACGCATCCATGAAAGGCACAGTCATAGTAACATCCTTCCTGTCTGGTAATACGGCACTTCTATCGGCCCTGCGCTTCTTGATTGCACTAAATATATAATCCCATCTGACCATACCACGTGAGTGAGCAAATTGACTATTCGCAACAGACCATCTATATTCCCTCACCTTCCGCAATTGAGTCCGGCAGAGTGGTTTCTCAACTCAAATAGAATTTCTTCCATCTGGAATGCTGCGGGAAGCGTTTCGATGAGGACGGTTGCCCTGATTGTGTTGTGAGGTATTCCAATGTAGGACTGGGAAAAGAGGAAGACGTCATTCCACAGACGGGCCTCGAGATAGTGCTCCATCTTTGGAAGATAGAAGAAGGGGCCCGAGCCACGCTTTATGAGCTCATGAGCATTGGTGTAGAAGTAGAGCCCAAAGTCGAAGAGAGACCCCGAGATAGGGGTATTGTCGACCGTGACACGTGTCTCGTCCAAGTGCCAGCCCCTAGGTCTACACAAGATATAAACATCTGAATGCGCCAGTATCAAAAATATCAAACGTACCGGACAAGAAGCACAGCGGGGTTCTCAGATAACTTATATTGCTTGCCGCTGGATGAGAAGTCGATCTGTCGGTTAATTGCATCCCGCAAATTGACTTGACCAACAATCATGTTTGCGAATGTAGGAGCACTAGAGTCTGGATACATTATATTAACACGATCATTAGCATCGTAAATGATCCGCGTACCTTCGAAGTCTGCCATGAAGGTCTTTGCACCACTGTTTAGAGCATTGATGACCATTTTCCGGTCAGTAGGACCAGTGATCTCAACGCGTCTGTCTTCAAGACCGGGTCCAGGGGGTGCGCAGTGCCATGAAGGTTCAGCACGGATGTGAGCTGTTTCAGGAGGAAAGTCAAGAGGTACTCCTGAGTCAAACCTGCGCTGTGCATCATCGCGCGCGGCTAGGAGGCTCTGTCTTGTAGACTCGAAGGTTCTATGAAGTGCAGCGAGAAATGCAACTGCACCATCGGTAAGGATTTCAGACTGGGCGTCCTGTGCGACCTTTGTGTGAATCTGAACACCTGCAACCATGATTTGGGAATGAATAGGGAGTAGGAGTAAGACGAGTGCGTATTAAGTAGTACTAGGTCTCGGGACTCCGACACACCGCGCTAGTGTTTCCGCGAGCATGTGTTTTTGACCCAATATTGTACCTGTCGTTTTTCGGGTGTCCATCGCATGTCCGCATTTCGGAACATACGTCATTGTTCGAGTCACCCCTCCCCGTTCCCGTTTTTCGATTTTGGCCGCGCTCCTGACAGTCACCACATATGTAACATACTCTCGCAGGCTGGTCTCGCGTTTCTGGATAAACATATACATAGGTGAGCACAGAGAAGACTAGTGACTGTCCAAGGGACGTGACCTCGCGTATGGCACACATGTACGTAAGCCTAGATCAACTTCAAATGCCTGGTTCACGCGTACTTGCAGGTCTTACACAATTACCACCTTGACTTTTGCCTACTAGCGGTTCTGTGAGACCCGTACCACAAACCCAGGCTCAGGGGCGAGAGCTGTTTCGAGGTGTGACGCCACAATGGACACCAAGGAGACACTAGTACTGATGGGATTGGATCGAGAAGCGCTGTTGCAATGGCTCGATTATCCGAAAATCGTGATCATAACTAAAATCTAGGCTCGAACCATAATGATACGTTGGAACGAAGGGACGGTGGTGAGATAGGAACCCACTGGCAGGATCTTGGTATGATATCGTAGCATGCAATGCAATATTACTTCCGTAGAATAGGCTACAGGGAAATACACTAAAACGCGAAAACAAAAAAATTGAGTGAACAAAATGGACAGAAATTATCCCCAGTCAACTTCCAATTCGTGAGCTAGCCAGTCGTCGTCTTCATCGTCTCCATCGTCAGCATAATCTTCGTCCTCCACACTTTCCTCAAAATTCTCGAGAGGTTCAGATAGCAAGGGCGAAGGTTTACGGCTGTGATCCGAGAGCGACTCGGTATCTACCAATTCATCAGCAGTGACAGCCTCTTTCAGTTTGGATGTTCCACTTCGACTTGCGGCTAGTTTCTTGCGCTTGGCAAGGGGAGAACGAAGAGCATCGCCCAGCTTGTCACCAACCCCATTAGTCCCACTGTCAGAAGGTGTGACGCTTCGTAGCCTTTTGCGTTTCAGTCGAGGAGTAGTATTTGGACTACTGTAGGAAGGATGGAATTAAACCGGCAATTTGAAGGGCGGGATTCGAACCTTAGTTGACTTCGAGTTTCATCAAGCATGGCATCGTCGTTATCAGATAACACACTTCTCGCACTACTCCTTTCACTCATGGCATCATCTTCATCGTCGCTCTCGTTCATAGCAGCTTCGACTTCATCATTGATGTCGTTCCAATCGATGTCCTGAAGCTCCAAGGACGCGCTCCCTGCTGGGGCAGGCTCTACGTCCCAGTCGTCTGCATCGGGCTCCGGATCTGAAGAAATCTGGTGTGGGTCGAGGATCGGACTAGAATTGGGAGCTGCGGCTGACGGGTCATCCAGTAAATATGGAGTCTCATCTTGTCGACCCCACAGTGCTATCGAGTCCGTGAACCAAGATAACCACACAATCTTGATTCCCCCTCGCTTCCGTGCGGCATCTACCTTGACTGTGCCATGCTATACAATAGAAGATCTATGAGCTAGAGTCGTATGAAAGATAGAGAGCGAGCGACCTTGGCGGCAACCACGTGGGTAATTCGACTGGATAGCTCAGTATAGCATTGTGCCCCAAACATGTGAGCTATTTTCCAGATCTCAGTTGTTTCGGGCTTTGTATCAAGAGGTATCACACTGGAAAATAATATATGCACCCCTTGCAGAGTATCCATGCGCATTTGCGGAATAATTTTCTGCGGCGCAATTGATTGACGTTACATGAGAGATATAAACCACTTACTGTCACGTCATGGGCTTTAGAGCGTGTAAGGGTGGGCCGTCGTTTCTTACCTCGGTCTTCTGGCGATCTGTTGTCATATGAGGTAAAGAAGCGACGATGGACTTCCCCAAGTAGCTGTAATAAATTTAATTAATGCTACACTCTACAATGTGAAAGATACACACATAGCCAACCCGTTGAAGCTCGGTATCGTCGTTTTTCAATAACGCCTTGCGTGGAACTTTCTCTGCCTTGGGGCTTGCTGCTGCCTTCGTATCGCTTTTGGGATGATGGGATGATGGATCTCCAGGTAGTGCAGTCGATCCGGTATCGTCAGACTCCAGCAGAGCTTCTTGCTTCTTGGCTAACGGACGCTCTTCGACTTGGGCTTCGAGCGCCATGGAATTTCGTGTTAGCATCGCCTTCGATTCCATCTCTGCTTTGTCGCATTCTTCGGGTGTTGATGTTGGTAATGACGTGGTTTCGGATTCAGAAACAGGAGGTGAGGGCGGCTTGGCTAGTTAATCCAGTTAGCACGAATTAATGAAGACCCTTTCTAAAAAAAGACTCGCCAAGAGAGGGAGATGGGACTGTGGGTGCGAGAGGTTCGATTTTGGGCAGGAAGGCAGAGTTAATGTCTCCTATGCCAACGAAAAAGTCATCTTGAAAAAGAAAATCAGTGTGGGGGTTTTAAGGCACGATATGACAACAACGGCACTAACACGGAATGACTTTGATAAGGTTCGGACTCCACTCCCAAACGTCTGCACGATCATCGATGATAACTACCATGGATGTATCACAGGGAAATAGACGTTGTAGACTTTTCTGCGTGAGACCTTGAATGATGTTGAGCTGCAAGATCACTATCAGATGAAGTCACTCACTCCCGCTTTCATCTCTACTGAGAATCCTTCCTCCAAATATTTTACCATCAGGGTCAATGGCAGCACAAACCTCTTCTGCATAGGCTCGAGTACCCATGGTGTATACATGCATCTCATACTTTGCCGATATATTCTGAAAGAATTCCTGGGTTCCAGGTCTTGTAGAAATGAGCTAGCCACTCTGACGATGAAGTAAAGGCCCGACGCACCGAGGTTTGATGTAATACATGCATCCTTCATTCTCGATTAGTTTCTGCTTTCCCTTTCCTTTGTGCCCGCCTCTTGGAACTGTAAGAATTCCAAACGATTCTGGACCCAGACGAAACTTTCGTACGTCCTGCAAAGCTTCCCAGTTTGGATTGCATTCGTCTTCAGCATCGGACGCTGTCCCGTCAGAGTCGTCATCAGAAGGTCCGTCGTTTGGAGTAGTCGATCTCTTCTTGGTTTGTTTGGCCTCCCATGCCTCGCCTTCTGCAATCCACTCACCCACAGTCGGGTCGACCGTCGCATGCACTATGGTTTGGTCAAGATCGACGATGAGAGAAAGTTTCCTCGACTTGAGTAAGTGCTCTGCTGTTTCCTTCTCTAACCTCCGGGCTTCCTCCAAGGAAACCGTTGGACCGAAGGCAGAATGTGTCATCTGGATAGATGCGCGCGACGCATCAGAGAATCCCGTATAATCAAATCTGAACATGCGTCAATAGAGCTCGTGCGACCTAGTGATACACGCACTCTGTCATATCCTTCCCGCACAGCCCGCATAGTCCCCCAATCTGAACACCATGCTTGCATGGCTCCGTGATGCATATGATAGGTCTCTGTTTCGCCTTCTGGGTAGAGATGCAGTCGCCAGACTTGACCCTCCAGGATTCGACAGTTCCTTCAATTGAACAGTCCCATGTGCCAAACCGAGTTTCTGGCTTCGAGACTGTTGCAGGAGATGAATACAGGAAGGAGTACGTCAATAGCCGGGTCCCGCGCTGCACAGTAGCACCTAGCTGGACATCGAGAGATGTGATTTTTATAGGATACGGTAGCGTCGGTGGCAAAAATATATCTGTCGGACTCGACATTTGGCTATCAGAGAGCCAAGTGCAAAGTTGATGTCGAGTGTAGACTTGAGCGATGACCTCGATGATGCACGAGACTGGATGACTTTGTTTACTCGACCGTATTGAGTAACTTTGACCCTTCCGCTAAATAACTTAAAACGACACTTGGTTCAAAGATGTCGCCTCCGCTTTTGTTCTCCACAATTGAAGTTACAAGACAAGCGTTTTACAGGACAGCGCTATCGTACGCCATCGTCAATCTCAAGCCAATCGTGCCAGGACGTGAGCCTAGCCCTTCGTACCATATTTCAATCTCAGGCTTATAAGCCGGACTTTTAGACGTGCTTGTAATCCCCAATCGACCTGTACCGCGCTTGACGGATCTCACTACAGCAGAATTAACATCCCTCATCGCTTCTGTCCAAAATGTCGGTCGAGTGGTCGAGCGAGCGTACGGCGGTGACGCGTTGACCGTGGCATGCCAGGTATAACTACTGGCAGACGAACATATGACTCGATATTCACCTATACGGTCTAGGATGGAAAGGCTGCAGGACAGTCTATACCTCACGTCCACTTCCATATCATGCCTCGGAAATACCACGGAGACTACTTTTCGCAGAGAATGGATGATATATATCCTGCATTAGAGCAGTCGGAAGCGGACTTGCCCCGCGACTTGCAAAATATCAAAGTGTCTAGCACCACGGTGCAACATCACCAGCTCAAAGTCGATGCAGATGAGGACAGATTACCGCGGACGCTGGAAGACATGGAACAGGAGGCGACATGGCTGAGAGGTTTCTTTACATGATGCCAACGCTGTGCAATGCTACGTGCCCATTCTGCTGCAATCTGGAAGGTTTAAATACATAGGATAAATCTAAGCGTCTAGAGGAAGGTGTGTCTATCCTGGCCTAGATTGTATCATTCCAGACATTCCAAGCAATATTATGACCGCAACCCTCTACGTGCTTTCCTGAAGTGCCTGATCCTGCAAGGCACAATACAGGCGGGGCCAGACTCGCGTTGCCATCCTGTTCGGAGTAGAATGCGTTATCGCCCTCTATAAATTCCAGACCATCATATCCGCCACCGCTGGCATCGGCGGTAATGCGCATCATCTGTATGCCATTTTTCCAAGATCCGTAAAGCCTAGACTTAACGGCTGTGAGTTGTACCAGCCCTTCATCCCAGCCCTTCTCAAACTCCTCGCGAATGGTCTGATGTTGAATATCGGTGATAAAGGATGCTGACGTGCACAGGGAGAGTAGCACCGGTGGTGATGGAACGATGCGTACCTTAGGAATAACTATTCCAGCAGGTATGTGGATAATGTCTGGCTCTGACGCGGTAGGTTCTTCCCTGAGCGAGATAGTAGCCGTGGCGAGACCACGCCGACCTGGTCTAATACGTCTTGCTGCGGGCTGTGGCATGCCTGCTAGTGTAGTAGTAGTGGCTGCATTGTGCTGTAACCAAGTTTTCAACACCTTTTCCCGTGCTTTTGCTCGCCTGACAGTTGCAGTCGCACATATCTTTCCAATGTTATTCCATTCCGTCGCCTGCGATTGGTCTCGCGCAACGCTGCATCCATCAAGAATCAGATGTTGCAGACCATGAAATCGAATCAGTATCCCCTCCATATCCGAGGCAAGAATATTACATGTGGACAGGTCAAGAAGGCGTAATGCAGGGACAGAGGACGGGATGCTGCTGATAAATCGGGATACTTGACGAGATGGTATACGGAGACGCAGGTGGATCAATGAGCTGACATATTTTGAGCACAATAGGACAGATATTGGCTCGAGTCGAAAGAAGACGAGCGGTTGTGCGAAATGCGATATCAATGGTTCGGGAGGATCCTGGACGATAGATAGGGCTGGTAACTTGTAGGAAGGCCAACGGGAAAGTGCAGTCAAGGTAGTATCGAAATAAGCTCCCTGACAAGTACAAGTTAGGCGAAAAGTATAAGATTCAACGCGAGATATTACCTTGAGAAATTGAAAATATGTGGCTTTCTGGACGCTTCATCACACACTTCAGGAGGGATAAACGAAAGGAATTGACAAATTGATACTCACTAGGGGCGGAAACGTAAAGAGAGGAAGCGCAGGTCTTCCCTTGGCTTATGAAACATCTCCTCAAGATGCTCTGGAGCAAAGTTGGGTCCCACGAAGAGAAGGAGAGAAGATATTCGAGGGAGGATTCCCAGTAAATTGACGAGGACATCGGCATCGACAGTCCAAGTCACGATACCAAAGTCCTTGACCCAGTTTCTCTCGTTATTGGCATTGCGCAAGCGACTATACAATTGTACGATCTGCTGGGCATGCTTGAGGTGTATGCGTTCGAATAAATGATAGATAGGCACAGGCGATTTGGGTATCGCTCTTGTCAGGGCAAGGACATCTTGTTGGAACGTGTCTGCTGGTAGGTGACTGATAATTGCACTATACAGCTCTGCAGGAAGTCTATCCAGCTGCCGCATTAGCATAGACGTTGGAGAAGGTGAGCTAGCGGCGCTAGTAGTGGTAACGGCTGCCACCGAGTGTGACTCGGAGATTTCGTGGGACATTACTGCACTGCTCACTGTGCTCAGTGCTATGTAATAGAGTTAAAGTCAAGATGTGCCAAGTCGAGATGTCGTATAGGAATGTGATGCGGCCACTAGTGATTCAACTGCCGAACGAAGTGTTCCAGAACTACTTTATACTGTGCAGTTAACGCATAACGACTCGGATCACAAAGGCGTCGTAACCTTGAAAGTATCTGGATGGCGCCAAAATTAAAAGGATGAGCTAGCCAAGTAGCGCGTCGAATAAAGACCCTTTGCGACGATAAACACGGTGTAGTAATAGCCGAGTAGTACTAATTAAATGAGCTAATGTGACTTTCACAATATTTGAAAAGTTGAATTGAGTACCACTAATATTTGTGATTGTAACGAATCTTGCCTTCACATCAACTTTCCAACGAGACTACCCTCCAGCCAGGCTGATGTCCCTTCAGCACCTTCAATTAACAACTCAACTCCTTCGGCAACCGCCTTTCTAGTGTCTTCCTTGTCTCCCCAATGCACCCGTGGCGTCCAAGTAACCAGATGTGCTCCAACATGTGCAATCGCAACCCTCGCGAGCGCTTCATCAGGCCCACTTCCTCCTCTATAAGCCAAGAGGAAGGATCTAATAATCTCGGACGTCTCCTCCTGGCGGCTTGCATAGAACCGCTGAAGCAGCCGCATCTCTGCGCAGAACTGACCAACGTCTAGCCCCCGAAGACCCGCCTTCGCCACCTCCCAGTCCAACACATAAAGCTTCTCTAACCCAAGCGTGTTCCCCTCTGAGTCGCTCCGAAGGGTTACCATTATATTCCCAGGCCAGAAGTCTCCATGTGTGAACACCTCCGTCGCGCTACCAATTTCCTGGCTGCGGGTCTCCGCTAGCTTCGAGATAACGGTCAGTTTCCCCTCAGGGATATCGAAACCGGGATCTGCCAAAGCCGCGATATTATCTCTACCGCTAAGCGTAGATATGAGGCGACCATATGTAACCAAAGCCGAGATCGTCTTGCCCATCTCATTGTTACCGAAAATACCCATATCGAAAGACGCGTCTTTGTTCCAGGTATGGACGCGCCCAAGGAAACGGCCGATCGTGGCACCAATTTCTTCGGCGACTGTCTGTGGTAGCGCCTCGTCAATCACCAACTGTTTCAGCGTACGAGCGTCCGTCCCGCAATCGTCAATGATCATGACGTGGGCTTCTTCGTCGAAGAGATGGACGTTAGGAACGGTGATGACATCGTCATCAGCGTGCATCTTGCGGACGAGCCGTAAGGCTTCCACATCGAATTTCTGCCAGGTCGTTATCAGTCCAGTTCCTGTGTAACGCCACTTCAAAAGAAGCCTCACTTGGCGCTCTGTAGAAAGAGCCATCGCACCGAGTGCAGCGACGTACGGTGCTGCATACTTCAACACCAATGTTGCCCTGCCCTTGAATGAGTCGTTGAGGTATATTCTGTATGTGAAGTTGGTGAAGCCTCCTGTCAGCGCGTTTATTGTATCTGATGCGAAAGGGGTATTAGACAAATATCTTCGTACGCCAGCGATGGTGGTGAGGTCAACGTCTCTCATGTCCGATTAGATGAGTATCGCTGGGTTATCGTCACTGCGACATCTACATACAGCCTGCCTTTTAAGCACCTGTCCAAGTCATAACGTTAAGCACCCATGTTTGACTCAAGACGCTCGCTACCGATAGAAGTAGAACACGGTGCGGATCCGAGGATGTTATGCAGTGTCGCCTTACCAACATATGTCAGCAATTGCCATGTGACTATTAGGTACGAGCAAACAGCATCTAACTCGGCCAAACCACAGTACAGTACAAGAAATTTCACAGAATTGTGTGAGTTCACTGATGCATGAAGATTTCCAAGTCCAGGGTGTATCAGGGAGATCCGGTGAATCAAATCAAGTTGGGTGCAGAGAAAAAATACAGTGGGTTCCTCAGGCTCCTCCACTAATGTGGGAGTCAGGGATGGCTTAGAGAGCGAGTGGATGTTTATCATTCAAAATCAACGAAGGTCAGGTATTAACAAATGTCATTTGGAAAGACAGGATATCGAAATATTCGAAATAAACAGGTCAGAGTCCGGATCAGATACCGAGAACTCAATTTCCCCTAACAAGTGGGATGATATCCACTGGTGGCGGCAAAGGAGAGATAATCCGCTAGGTTGTCATACGGGATAGTGCGTGTATCACAGAAACCGGTCCATGCGCTGATAATACCCCAGAACTCAATGACATAGTCAGTGCTTGAAAACGAAAACATATTCATAGTCATTCTTCAGAGATCTCGTGATAACTCACGAGGTTGGATACGGTCCATCATTATCGGTTTTCTCGGGCATCCCTCCCAAAGTTCCACCGAGGGACGTCCATGTGCCTGTCTGTTGATATGAAAGCTCGTCAAGTTATCAACACAGTTCAAGTGATAACCTACCAAGCCCTCGTAATATGCATCGATCACGTTTTGTTGAGTCATTGATGCTGCTCCACCTGTCATATTATAGAACACTGCTTCAGAAAGCTTCGCCTCTTGAGCAGTAGTGGGCATTGGAGAGGTATCTAACGGGTATAAGTGTTGCAGTAGGACATCAGTGTTGCTCCACGCATGGCAGAAGCTCGCGAGAACGCAGTATTCATTCTGGAAGAGGCCCTGGGTCACCCAAAATTGACACTGGGTAGCCATTTCGGTGCATGAACCATTGTCTGTTATCGGCTGAGGGGCGCATGGGATGTTTGGCACCGCTGTGTTGCACGATGCCACTGCGGGACACACTCCAGGGACAGATGAATACTCAAGCCAGTCCTGGAAAACATGTAAGGACACATATTATTGTCCAAAAACACCGAGTACGCACAGCGAGGTTTGCATGAGGAATGTTTTCAGTGGCGCAGAACCCGGTCCAAGCAGCGATGGTCGACCATTGACCAGTAATGTAAGTACCGCTGCAAATAAAATCGTCAAGAATTCGAACCCCGATATATTGTAGGAAGACTTACTTGTCAGGGTAGGAGCCGCCAGGAGTGATGGAAATCTGATGGTAATACGCATCGATGTAGTTTTGTTGTGTCATGTACGAATTCCCATTTGTTATGGCATAGAAAACCTATAGTACCACCAGATCAGCAAAGAACACAAATATCAAGCTTTATTCGGACAGATTCAGTCAGACGGGGTTGAGTCGCAGGCGCTGCGGATGCGTTGAGGACTTGTGCAGGGCTCTCCATACATGCAGTTAGGAGGAAACACGACGTGTAGTTATAAAAGTTGCTGAGATCAACTGTGGTCGCATTACAGCTGTTTTGGAGCGAGACACATGACTTGAAGGCGGAAACTAGTCCACTGATATCCTGCCTTGGAATGAGTGACGAGGGAATGGCAGTAACGAGGCCTATGAGAGCAAGGTAAAGAATGGATATTAGTGTGTTCATGTTTACTAGGCAGAGACACTAAGAGGAAGGACAGACAGGATCACAAAGATACCAGACAAACCGGCGAACCTCAAAATACTTATAGGTAAGAGATCGGCTGAAATGAAGTTCATATCACATATCTCTGTGCTTAGGGTGGGTTGTTGACCCGATTACCCGCATTCAGATGTCATCAAGAACGGAAACCTGCGGAAGCGGGAATGACTAAAGTCACTAAACACACGATGGTCATGTAACCACGTCAGACGCGACTGCAGGACACCCGCAAGTTTGCGTTGCGATGCAACATCCTGACTCCTGTGAAAGTCAGGCGTGGTGGACGGTCTTGAGAGATGCGTGGCACATCACGACCTGTGTCCTAGTTTGCATAGCGCAAAGTCCGCATGACTCGATCTCGTGAAGAGATTCAGCGCTGGCAGCGAGGAATGACAAGTCGGTTAGAGCAAATGGGGTTGAAGTAGAAACTCTTGCCTCTCAAGTCCATCGAGTTATGTGAAGTTCGTCGAACGTTCGACGTTCATTGGCATATGGAGCGAGTACGACTTTGAGTCTTTGAACTTGAGCCTGAGACAAGTGTATGTAGTTCAAATGAAAGCTTCAAATTGAACTCAGTTACTACACGCTGTTACGTGACGGTGTAACGGAACGAAATTAATTTTGGCCCGACATATCGAATTCAAAAAGATAGTCACCGTTGTTCTTTTCAGCGTTACGAGCAAAGCGATAGCAACAGCCCACGCCAAGAAACCAAGAGTCACTGATCAGTACAAGGCCCGATCGGTCCGTTTACCTTCGGACGTTTTGAATTCTACCGTGAATTACGATAAGAGACGGTCACTGGGCCTGTACGCAACGTTCTCCGTTGTGTTTTTCTCTTCGTTCTCTGTTGCAAACAGCGCTTCGAGTGTCTCAGCGACATCACGCTCTCGAAAGTCCGGTCTGCATCAGCACTCTTCATCGCAGATTCGTCGAGGGTTCAGATTCCTCACAGGAGATAGTGACATTGCCTGCCTCGCATCCACTGGAGTGCAGGAGCACTCGAATGATACGGTAAGTGCAAGTGAAGCTCTTGGACGACCGTGACACACATTAGCAAAGATCGAATCGAATGGTCAAAGAAAGAGTAGAAGGACGCAGACATCTAACATATGTCGAGCGCTCGATGGTGGTGCTCAGTGGAGCCTCAAAGGGGCTCAAGTGGAGCGCGCACATGACGTCGACACCATATTGGAAATCGCTCCGATATGTAGATAGATGGGCCCATCCGAATCATGAAGCATAGAGTACAACAATTGGATTTAGTGAAATATGAATGACAACATCCAGAAGTTTGATCGTGAGCACGTTCGTACAATAACTTTACAGCTTGTCGTAGTAGTGGTCAACAGCTGGAATTTCGGGCTAAATATCGTGTTAGTCATATTGCAGAATCGTGTGCAGTCACCCATTACCTTGAGACCCTTGCGCACACGAATGCCCCTGACAAGCTCTTCGAGCTTGCTACCCTTGTCGAGAGGAGCTAATAAATTTTATTAACATCAGTCTTAACACGTCGCACATGCAATTACGCACATCCATTCATGATTTCCCAGTGGTCGAACACACTCTGGGGGAAGGCTTGGCCAGCAGTTTGTGAGCGGAGGTCACTGTTGAAGCCGAAGGACTCCATGACGGGGAGGTACGCCTTGACGGTGAACATGGGAGTTCCTGGCCTCTGCTCTTCGCTGAAGACCTGGCCACGACGCCTGTTCAACACGCTGTAAATACCACCGATGGCGTTCTCAGGACACTGGATCTCGACTGAGAATAACATCAATACCCAGAAAAATACGATGCGAGCGGGACGTACCGAGGTACACCGGCTCCTGGAGACCAGGGGTAGCAAGCAAACATGCTGCGTAGCAGACGCGACGGCACGTAGGAATGAGTTGTCCACCGCCACGATGGATAGCATCAGCGTGCAGCTGTTATTATCGCATAAGAAGATGCAATACAAGTAGGTATGAAGTGTACTTACAGTGACATCAAGAATGTTGAAGCGGATACCACGCATGTTCTCCTCAGCGCAGACACCCTCCTTTGTTGCCCACTGGAAGGCAGCGACGCAAGAGTCCTTGATTTCGTTGAGGTACTGCACACCCTTGGTGACATCGACGAGCAAGTTGGGGCCAGTGGTATCGGGACCGAAACACCAGATCTTCCTTGCATCGGTGACATCCCAAGAGAAGTCATCAGCGAGGATACGAGCACGGGCTTTGTAATCGTCACGGGAGTTAACGGTACCAGCCTCAATAGCTTTGGTGAGATCCTCATCGAGAGGCATTGCCTTGGCATAGAGACGGTTGTGCTTATTCTGCGACTTGGACAAGGCCACAATCGAGGACTCAGCCTTAACAGTCTCACGGTAGCCCACGACAGGGTCAGATATCTTGAGAGGAACGCCAGCGTGGTCTTCTTGGAGATCCTACGATGTGTCAGGATAACGAAATTTAGCAAGTAGATAGCCATTTACCTTCAAGCAGATTTCCAAGTGCAGCTCACCAGCACCAGCGACAATGTGCTCACCGGTCTCATCGATCCAAGCCTGGACACAGGGGTCAGACTTCGACAGACGCTTGAGACCTTCGACAAGCTTGGGCAAATCTGCAGCGTTCTTGACCTCAACAGCGACCCGCACGACAGGGGACACGGAGAACTTCATGACCCTCATGTTGTGTGCAGTCTCAGAGGTGGTGAGAGTTCCGCTCTTGAGCAAGAACTGGTCAATACCGACGAGACCACAGATGTTACCGGCAGGACAATCTTCAATTGGTTCGATGTAACGACCCATCATGAGCACCGTGCGCTGAACTGACTTGAGGAACATGTCCTCCTTCTTTCCAGGCACGAAGTTGGGGCCCTGGATCCGGACCTTGGGGCCAGAACGAACGGTACCGGAGAACACACGACCGAAAGCGTAGAAGCGTCCCTTATCTGAAGTGGGCACCATCTTCGAGACGTAAAGCACAAGGGGGGCCTTGGGGTCACAGTCCCTGATACCAATGGCAGACTCGTCATCCATCGGACCTTCGTAGAGAGTCTCAACACGGTAGCGTTGAGCAGTTGCGGGGGAAGGAAGGTTGATGATGATCATCTCCAAGAGGGAATCACCAGCGGGCAAGAACTTGCGCATGACGACCTTGAGGAGAGCCTTGCCCTCGAGATCATGCTCCTCAGATGTCAGCTTGACATCGAGCTTCTCGCAAATGGGACCGATTTGGTCCTTCTTGAAATTCATGACGGCGTCGAAAATCTTGAAGATGGGCTCAAGGACGAACATGTTGAAAGACCGTTCAAGGGGTTTGCCGTCGGCATCGGAGTTCTTCGTACCCCACTTGCGAGTGGCAGGGTTGAAGTAGTTATCACCCCAAAGCTTAGCCAAAAGCTTGTCTTTAGGCACACCAAACTTTTTGGAGTAGCGACCAGCGAACTGGCGGAGGCCGAAAGCCCACCCATGGAGACCTGAACCGAACGCAACGGTACCCTTGTCTGGGTAGACCTGGACGTCACCAAGGGCAGCATCATGGTAAGTCGAAACGATGACATTGACCGTCTCGATGGTACGCTGGAACGACTGATACAAGTCCTCTTTTGAAACTTGAAGCTCAAGTAAAGCACGGTCGACCTTGTTGATGATAACGACGGGTTTAATACGCTCCGTGAGTGCTTGACGAAGCACTGTCTCTGTCTGCACGCAGACACCTTCGATACAGTCGACGACGACGAGAGCACCGTCAGTGACACGAAGAGCAGCTGTGACTTCTGATGAGAAGTCGACGTGACCTGGTGAGTCGATCAAGTTGATCAAGAACTCGTTGCCTGAAGCAGTATTTCATTAGCAAGATTTTGCGATATTAAAATAAAAGACTTACCTTCAGTCTTCTGCTGGATAAGTTCAACATCTTCCTTCTCCATTTCGAAGTACATAGAGATGGCTGTCGATTTAATTGTGATACCACGCTCCTTTTCATCGTCTCGTGTGTCCGTAAATCGCATGTCACCAGCTTTTGCTGCAGCAATGATACCAGCTTTTGAGACGAGGGAGTCGGTGAGGGTAGACTTTCCGTGATCGACTGCGTAAGTCGATTAGATCAATATGCGATCATCAGCAGGATCTTGCTCACCATGGGCAATGACGGACATGTTACGGATGTTCGTGGGCTTGTCCATGAGCCCACGAATCTGGTCTATGATTCAAAGAATCGTTAAGAGAAAGATCGAGTTTTCTTGCACGATCTATGTGCTCACCGACTGTGAAGTTACTATGATCATACACAATGATTAGTGCATCGGAAACGTAGATCTAAGCGAATACGTACACCATCGTGTCTAGATTTTACAAGGATGCAATGAGAAAAAAAGAAAGAAACGGGATCCTTTTGAACGAGTTGGATGGTGAGTCAAATGCACACCGGGGCCGTACTCTGAGGCTCGTTGATCTTAAAAGTAAAGTTTTTGGTCTTTGGCTTATCGATCGACTTCAGGGCAGGTCACGTCACCATGCTGTGTGACTGTGATATTAAAAGCGCACCTACTAATAGTACTTGTGGTATATGGTACTGGGCACTCGTGTAATCATATCCACTTTTCCTGTTCATAGATACCCATGGCCTGTTCATTCTGGCAGTTAGTACGGAGGTCTCAGTGAATCTTACACTCGTTGTTATTTCCTGAGTCAGTCCGCACAGCACCCTATTAGTAACCCGCAGGTCCGAGTCAGCCAACACCGCCGAGCTGATGAGTCGTAATATTTCCTTGGTTTCCCTTCAAATTTAGTGTGGAAAATGGTACGGAAGTAGATACGTGACTTATTTCAGTCACGTGATGAGTTTCGAGTCAAGATGCGATATGAATCATGATTCTAATTGCGGAAACCAAAATCTAGATGAGACGTGTGTTTCTGCACTCATCTCTCCTTCGATCAAGACGTCCATCTCATCATATTACCCTCCCTTTGCCTCTAAGAATGTCTTCCTCTTATGATGGCCCATGGACTGCACGCAAAGTGCGCGAAGAATTCTTCAACTACTTCCGCTCCAAAGAACACACTTTTGTTCCATCTTCTTCAACCGTACCCTACGATGATCCCACTCTCCTGTTCGCAAATGCTGGGATGAACCAGGTCATTTCAATTCTGTAGGCTTATGCATCAGAACTCACATCCTATCAGTACAAATCCATATTCCTGGGTACTGTCGATCCCAATTCCGAGCGAGGCAAGCTGAAGCGTGCTTTCAACAGCCAAAAGTGCATCCGCGCAGGTGGTAAGCATAATGGTACGTGCAAGTCTATGTAAAAGGCAGCGTTCACTTTGACATTGCAAATATAGACCTGGAGGACGTTGGGAAAGACTCCTACCACCACACATTCTTCGAGATGCTCGGAAATTGGTCATTTGGTGACTACTTCAAGGTTTAGTGCTTGTTTTCCGATAGCTCGGCCTAGCCGACATTTATTTTACAGAAAGAAGCTATTGAATTTTCATGGGATCTATTAACTAACGTATACGGGCTGCCCAAAGACCGATTATATGTTACCTACTATGCTGGAGACCCACAAAATGGAATACCCACCGACGAGGAAGCAAAACAACATTGGCTAAGCCAGGGTATCTCACCAGATCACGTTATCGCATCAAAAGGAAATTTCTGGGGTAAGGCGTGTTTTATCACTCAATGAACAATGTGACCCATTCGCGTCTACAACAGAGATGGGCGCGACCGGACCATGTGGGCCTTGTAGGTGCGTATCTCCCATTTCTTATCTCCCTCCGTTGATCTTCCTCAGTGAAATACACTTCGACCGCATTGGTGGACGTAATGCTGCACACCTTGTCGATGGTGACGACCCAAACGTCCTTGAGATATGGAACAACGTCTTCATACAGTTCAACCGCGACGATGACGGCTCACTTAAACCGCTCCCAAGCAGGCATGTCGACACCGGCATGGGTTTCGAACGACTTGTCTCAGTCCTCCAGAACAAGCTTTCAAACTACGACACTGATGTGTTCTCCCCGATCTTCACACGTATACAGGAATTAACTGGAGCAAGACCATATAGTGGGAAATTTGGCAACGATGACGTGGATGGTATTGATACTGCATACCGTGTCGTTGCTGATCACGTACGCACGCTTTCGTTTGCGTTGAGTGATGGTGGTGTGCCCAACAACGTTGGCCGTGGTTATGTCCTTCGTCGGATCCTTCGTCGTGGTTCACGCTATGTCAGGAAGAAGCTTGGTGCACCCATCGGCTCATTTTTCTCCTCTTTGATGCCCGTGGTTGTGGAGACCATGGTTAGTGAAGCACATCTATCGCATCCACTCGACCTAATTTATACCTTGTACACTAGGGTGATGCCTTCCCTGAGCTTACAAAGAAGCAAGGCGACATCAAAGAGATCCTTGACGAAGAGGAAGAGTCCTTCTCACGTACCCTCGATCGGGGCGAGAAGCTGTTTGACCAATACGCGACACGTACGAAAGATCTGGGGGTCAACGAGCTCAATGGTGCAGACGTATGGCGGCTGTATGACACGTACGGATTCCCCGTCGACCTCACACGGCTCATGGCGGCGGAGCTTAGGCTTGGAATCAATGAAAAGGAGTTCGAGGATGCCCAAGAACATTCAAAGCTCGCGAGCAAGGGATCATTCAAAAAGGATAAAGCGGATCTTGTGAAACTTGATGTCCACGATCTCGCTGCATTGGAGAAGAATGATGCGATACCCAAAACAGACGATTCGTTCAAATTTCGTGCGTGAATTCCTATCCACAATTCACCCTTACTCAACCACCTTTGCAGAACTCGGAAATGTCACTGCTACAGTGAAGGGCATTTACTATCACAAGGAATTCATCTCATCATCATCTGGTATACCGGCGGATGCAAACTTTGGTGTGCTCCTCGACCGCACAAGCTTCTACGCAGAAGCTGGTGGCCAGGAGTATGACACTGGCAACATCGTCATCGACGGCACCACCGATTTCGAGGTGACAAACGTTCAGGCATACAATGGCTACGTCCTCCACACTGGTTCTCTCAAATACGGCCAACTCTCTGTTGATGATGAAGTCATCTCCTCCTACGATGAGCTCCGCCGCTGGCCACTGCGCAGCAACCACACCGCAACGCATATCCTCAATTTCTGTCTCCGCGAGGTGCTCGGCGATCACATTGACCAGAAGGGCTCGCTTGTGGCACCGACAAAGCTCCGCTTCGACTTTTCGCATAAAGCACAGATATCCCTTCCCGAACTTGCAAAGATTGAGTCTATGAGCATTGACTGGATCAGGAAGAATGTAAAGGTATATGGCAAGGATCTAGATCTCAAGACTGCGCATAAGATATCCGGGCTGCGCGCGGTCTTCGGCGAGGCATACCCAGATCCTGTGCGTGTTGTCGTGCTCGGGTACGATGTAGATGAGGTCGCGAAGGATATTGACAACCCGAAGTGGCGGAGCACGAGTGTTGAGTTTTGTGGTGGCACTCATGTCGCGAAGACGGGTGATATCAAAGACTTTGTCATCACTGAGGAGTCCGGGATTGCGAAGGGAATCCGGAGGATAGTCGCTGTGACTGGCCAAGAGGCGCATGAGGCGTCCCGTGTCGCCAATTCTCTGAAGGTCCGCCTTGAGCAGCTCGAGTCGACGGAAGGCAAGGAAAAAGATACCGGGCTCAAGGTTCTTAGTGTGGCAAGTCATAAGATGTTTTTCTTCCACTGTCTGTCGACTGATGTTTTTGTAGGAACTTGGCCAGGCAGATATATCGGTCCTTCTGAAAGCAGAGCTCAAAGACCGTCTAGCGACTCTTCGCAAGTCGCTTGACAAGCAAATCAAAGAGAAGGAGAATGCGATAAACAAGGCGGTATGCCCTTCTATTTGTTGTTATTGTATGTCGATTGATGTATTGGCAGGCCGTGAACGCTCTGGTCACCTTCTTCGAGGAGAAGCCTGATTCAGAGGTCTACTTTGCCATTCTTGAGGTTGATGGTAATGCAAAGGTATGTTGTAACAATAGTCCACAAAAGGTGATTATGCTCAACATGATGTCCAGATTTTGCAAAACGTCGTCATGCAAGGCAAGAAGCTTGGTAAGACGGTCTACGTTTTCAGTGTCGACGCAGAGGGTGGCAAGGTCGCACATGCAAACTATGTTTCTGAGTCTGCACGGTCAAGAGGTCTCGATGCTCGAACATGGGCATCCAAAGTAAGCGATATCCTCGGCGGAAAGGCTGGTGGGAAGGAGGATGGTGCTCAAGGTGTTGGGGTCAACGTCGCCCAGGTTGAAGAGGCTCTGAAGGTCGCGCGGGTGACGTTTTCAAGCAAGTATAACTAGCGATTTCTCTATGCAATGAACACCCAGCTATTTACGTCTATCCTTGTTGTAATTCAGACAATGCATTGTACAATGGGCTCTGCTTCAAAATATTTTTTTATGGTACAGCCTCGAGCAAGCACAGCTAAATAGGGGTCCACAGCCACATAACAACGGAAGTTTCCCATTTATGTATCCGTCTAAACGGTGTAACCGCCTTTCTTGTCTACCCACATTTTGCGCTGTCCTTTGACTGATTAGCGCCTCACGAACTTGGCAATATCATCTTTCTGACGCCCTTCTTTTCCTTATGAGTTTCATTCGGCCAGCTACTCCTGGCTTCCTGATAACCCTCATAGCCACCATTTTGTTGGGTGTTGTATCCTTCTCTGTACCCCTCATAAAGTCTATATACTTCCTCAAGGCAAGCCTTGCCGTCGAAGGCTCCAATGGTTACATCACATTTGGAACCTTGGGGTATTGTTCGGATATCTCAGGGACAGTTTCATGTTCTAGTGCAACAGTGGGGTATGAGCTCAGTAGGTCAACTTCTAAACCCTTGTAGCATTCATATTGACATTTTCCTTCCCTGGCGTGTGTAGACATCAATGCCTTGGTGGGCGATAATACGGCTCTCCAAATCCCCACCGTAGTTGTAAAATGGCTCACGTATGCCCTCGTCCTGCACATTGTGGCTTTCGGCCTCGCAGGAGTAGCCGCCATATTTGGTCTACTCGCTCACATTCGTGAAATGGCCATGACTTGCTTCAGTAGCTGCATATCAGGATTTGCCGCTACTGTCGCTCTTACTGCTTTCATTTTTGACCTCGTCATCTTTTTTGTCGCCAAGTCCAGGATGAACAGTGTTTCAGGTGGCTCTGCTTCCATCGGCAACGCAGTATGGATTACGCTTATCGCCTGGGTTCTACTGTTCTTCAGCGGATGTTTCTACGGCGTTGGAAGGTGTTGCATAAGAAGGCGTCCAAGGGATAACGACCGTATGGGTGGAAATGGATACGCAGATCAAATGCGCCTTGACGCTGTCAAAGCGGAAGTAGATCGAAAAGCAAGACAACAGCGAGGCGAAATTGGTTTACCCCCTTTCCAGGAATATGACCCATCCCAGCCGCTGAAGGCCAGAATCTCGGGGGATGGTGTATTTTTGGACGAGGAGGATGGTGTGCTATACCGAGACAACCAGAGCGTCTCAACCGCCGGAAGAGCCGGTACGGGATCCTATGGTCGTCGTCCATCAGCAAACGGCTACGCTGGGGGAGGTTATATGCAGGCTCCTCTCGGGACACGCGCTGTTGATGAATATAACAACACTTCTCCGTATGCGGCGCCGCCACGCCGGAAGAGTAGCACCCTCACTCAGACTACGTCCTCCAGCACTTATCCACCGACATCTACAACTCACTCAATGTCGCCTCTCAATTCATATGCCGTTCCCGGTGCTGCAATCACTGCCCCAGTGCAAAATGCTTCCGGCGCTTACTATAGTGACCCATACTCCCCGCAGGCATATGGTCATGTGGAAGGTGGTTCTTGTGAGTAATGGCTCGGCAGCACTTGTTCATCTCTCACATAATTATAGCGCGCACCCCTCCGCAGCAACATGTGGTGTATAACCCTTGGGAACCGCAGCAAACTCAGCCATCCTTTAACCCAGATTCATACAATGCTTCGGGTGTGACAGCTGCGGCTTCATATGCTAATGCATACAACCAGCCTCCTCGTCAACCCGAGCAGAACTATGCTACCAGCACTACTGGTGCTCCACAGCTGTCGGACCCATACTATGCTTCCAATTATCGTGGCCCAACTCCTAAGCCGAGTTCTCCGCCACCAGCCAACACCAGTGGTGTAAAGGGTCCGAGGGGGCCGCCGTCCCCTGTGGTGATGTCCCCTCCATCTCAGATGTACAACGACAACCCACCGACGTACGAGGATGGTCCATCGCGAACGCCTGTGCAGTGGAAGAGTTGAATATGATATGCAATTTCATGAGGATTTCATGGAGTTGATATATCTATACTGCATATTCTATCAATGGACCGTATCAGATTTCACTGTAGGACTATCTAGTTAGATACCCTCTGTATTCTATTGTGAAACAGTGGCATGCCTTGAAACAATAACCTAGCATGAGTACTGACAACAAGCCATCCTATGGGTTCTAGAGCTCATCGGCCAGTGTTCGCCTTCGTTTTACTTGCCGTTTGGGCGGCTCATCGACGATCAACAGAGTGAGGAAGTCATCCGCAAGGCCAGCAGCAAGGATGCCAGTGGTCTCGCCGGCTGGATTGGACGGTGAGCCCTCGTTCCTAAATTCGGGAGATGGATCTTACCATCATCGTATGCTGGAGCAACCTCCACAATGTCAGCCCCACTACATACGAATCATCAACTGTTTGTACAGGCCCCCGAATGATGAAGAGAATCTTACACAAAGTTCAATCCAGCAAGACCTCGAAGGATTCGCTTGGTTTCTCGACTGGTCCATCCAGCAGGTTCCGGTGTACCAGCTACCTAGACATCAATAACTTCAAAATTGCCCGAGTGATATTTGCGCTCACTTGCAGGTGCCTGACCAGGGTCTATCAGAGAGCAGTTAGTACACAATTGTTAGCGATCAATCAGAACATCTGCAGACCGATGGTGTCGATGTCAAAGCTGAGGCGAGAGGCAATGAACATCAACATTATGATCAGCGACGCATTTCTCGGGACACACCTCAGGTAAACAGGGGAGTTGCCGATGCGCTGTCGGATATGCTTAATGATCTCATCTGTTCCAAGGTCGTCGATATCATCAGCCATGATGAGCTCAAAGCCAATTTCTTCATCGTGCTCGATCAACTCAAGGCCCTGTCGATTCAAAGTACGTTAGCTCGAGCCAACTTGAGATACAAGGAACGCCCTGACCTCCAGTTTGTTTCGGATCCCAGCATGAATACTGGTGTTGGACATAAGTCCCTCCTCAAACGCCCATGTGAAATATGTCCCGTGATTGACCCTGGACTGCGTGGAAAAACCTCCCCCGCTTGGCCAGGTGTCGATGTGTGCATCGAAGTGAATGACAGATATGGGTCCATAAACCTGATAAAGAGATCGAAGAATCGGAAGCACCTAAGTATAAATTGACATGTGAAATTCGGGGGATGTAAAGGAATCATGCTATCTCACGATGGTATGGTCTCCGCCTACCAGCATATGATCAATTGCATGTTCTCAAACGAGATCATGGTTCGGGGCTCACCTAATGTCAGTATACGAGGGTGCTCCACTCCATCACGCGCAAGTTTGGCGGTGCGCGCACTAGCAGTTCCATTCACGGGTCGTGCTAAAAGCGTGGTATACGCAGTTTCCATTTGATCAACAGCTAACGCGTTGTCATAGGGGCTGATAGGGACCTGTTAAAGCGCTCTGTCAATATGTTTAGACGCCTATGACGAGCCGAAACTTACGTCTCCACAGTCAATCACTTCTGCGCGGGTGTACGGGTTCGTCATCCATTCCAATGCGTAGCCCCTCGCGGGGGATTGACGGCTGGAGCCAGATCTAATTGCATTTGGTCCGAAACGTGCCCCTGGTCTGTAAGAAGTAGCTGTGTCAAATGGCATGCCGAGAACAGCGACGTCAAAGGTTGTCGACAAATCATCCAAGCAACGTGTGTAGGGTAGGTGGGAGTAGCTCAGAGGTCCTGTAAAACTAAGGTCTGTCTGTGTGCCATACTTGGTTGTCCATGGCTCCTGCTGCTTGGTTTCGAAGGCATGTTGCTGCGCATAAACAACGGGAAGTAGCGCGAGAGGAAGGTATCTCATTGTCAGTAGTACCTGCGATGTTGCTTCGACGTCAGCGTCAACTTATGAGGGCAATCGCGAGAGATCTCTGGGGACGAGAACATTTTGTATTGCATGTTACGTACTGTTACGTACTCTGAAAGTATTTCTGCTTAGCACCTGATTGGCACGTGGTGATGTAGGGAACAGCCAAAGATAGCTTGGAAAGTAAGAAGAACCGTCAAAGTTCATCTCGAAGCCAAGAACCAGGAAGTGCGTGTGGTGTGGGAGGCGATTGAGACATGAACATCGATAGAAAATCGTGGACAAGATCGGCCGCCGCCGTGCCTGTGATTTCGGCTGTAAAAGAATGTCTCAGTCCCGGTCACAAACAGCCGACTGCTACCAAACATGCCATGATCATAGACAGGAGCGACTTCCACTATGTCGGCGCCACTGTGTTGCAAACAAGGTATGAGACTTGTGGGAGCCAATGATAGCCGGGATACCTACACGAAGTTCAATCCGGCCAGACCACGGATGATTCGTTTGACCTCTCTACTCGTCCAGCCTCCCGCCTCGGGAGTACCCGCTAGATTTCAGAAATTCAAGCTTTGTTTCAGTCAGTTAATGGTGAGACGCACTAGCAGGTGCAAGACCAGGATCTGTTTGATATGTAACATAAGTGGGCAAATCCAACACGGATATCACTTACCAATAACATCAATGTCAAGACTATTGCCCCGTCAGTAACATTCTAAGCAGTATGTAAAGCAGACATGCCTCAAGTAGACAGGTGTGTCACCAACACGCTCCCGTATGCGTTTGATGATCGCGGGAACCCCGTGATCGTCGATGTCATCGCTCGTGATGAAGTGGAATCCAACTGATTCATCATTTTCAATGTCTCCCAGTCCCTGAATTCAGAGGTGTTCATTGCAAATAATAATAATAATCAAAACCTTATTTACCACTAATTTGCATCGGATACCAGCATGAATGCTCGAGTTCGAAACCAAGCCTTCCTCATTAGCTACATAAAAGAAGGTTCCGTGGGTAACACGCGACTGCTCAGTCACTGTTCCCGGATATCCATTCCAGGTGTCGAGGTGCGCATCGAAGTGAATAACAGAAACCGGTCCATATACCTTGTTAAGAGCACGAAGAATTGGAAGCACGATTGTGTGATCGCCTCCAAGGCTTCGAATGATGTCAGGTGCTTGCTTGTAGATGTTTAAATTGGACAAACCTGACGATCCTTGGGCGCTCACGTCCGTCCTTCGCAAGTTGGGCACCATTCGCCCAAACAGACTGGCTGGAGGCGATAGGACGATTTAACAAAGTAGAATACGCGACTTCCATTTGGTCCATGGCCAGAACATTGTCGAATGGAATGATCGGAACCTTTGCCCTCGTCAGTTGCTCATGTCAATTACTTGTCACTGAAAAAGGCGCACGTCGCCACAGTCAATTATTTTTGATCCTTGCTCGTATGGGTTATTGCCCCAAGCCAAACTATATCCGCGAGCCTCCCTCTGTCTTCTGCTGCCTGAACGAATCGCATAGGGTCCGAAGCGAGCACCAGGGCGATAGGATGTGCCCGTATCAAAAGGCATACCGAGAACTGCTATATCAAACTGCGCGGATTCATCTTCCAGACAACGGGAATAAGTCATATGAGAAAATGCCAATGGTCCAGAGAAAGGTTGGTCAATCTGGGGACCATATTTTGACAACCACGTCTCAGGCTGTTCAATAGTGTCGCCCAAAGGGATCTGGTGCGCGAATATGGCTTTGATAGAAACCGCGCTGATTGCAAATTGAAGGAGTTTTTTGAAAGCCATACTGGTAACGTTGTTCCTTTGGAAGAAGACCTATGTTGACTTGAGACCTGAGAGGCTGGCGAATTCTTATCTGGAAAATGGGACAGAGTGGGCGGCCCGTCGGACAGACGAAGTCAAACGATATGTGCTCCGATATGTGACAGGAAAGCTCTAGACACCTTATTCTTGACAAAGAAGATCAAGCAAAGCAATCTGATATGATCAGCTGCTCAAAGAAGGATGTACATGAGGCTTGCACGAGGCGAGGCCAACAATTCATGCGCAAAATTAGAGGATGCGGCGGGTCCCGTGCACAAGGATAACAAAAGTCAAAATGCACGTGATTCGCTGCGGGGTACTTTACTTACTAGCTAGTACTTAAATAAGCGTAAGTAGACAAGTTTCTGCCAGTCATAGAACTACCTAGTACCCATGCCCATCACGACACAGTTTCTCGAGTCAAATACAAAGTACGTGCGCTCAAACCAAATGAAAAATAAGCACCATACGAATATCGATTACAGCAGTCTCCGATGAGCAGCTGACGTACGCAAAGGCAAAATCTGCCATTGACGGCGTTTTCTAGCACTCTCACCTTCAGCAGGAGCATCCCGCTGACCGATCGTCAAAACTCTGAGTTTTCTGAGGTGCTCGGAGGAGTCATCTGCGTCGCCTTCTACGCCTCGATCCTGTTCTAGAGTCTCATCTTCGGTGAGGTCTATATCCCCACTGAAAACATCCTCAGGAGTTGCCTTCCTCTGTGCTGTGCCACCAGAGAAAAAAGAAATTGGTGTTATGACAGCGGAACTTAAGAAAGCCGATGCGTTATCTAACAGTGACTTTGGTTTGGGCATTGGAATTGATGACAGGACGTATGTCTTTCGCATCCACGCGGTGGAAGTTTGCGCGGCTGGCGGAGGGTATGCAGGATCACACTGGAAAGATGCAGCGATATGCTGAGTTTCTCGGGAATAGGAGAAACGCGGTAAAGGATGCGAGTATTCATTTGGATATGGCTGGGAGATGGGTCGGCGATGCCGAATAACCAAACGGTCCTCTACATCTACTGTAAGATTCTACACCAGATGAATGATGCTGACGTCGCACCTTCGATATCGATTGCATGTCCTGATGATCTCGAACAAAGAGCGCCCGACGTGTCGATGAAGAATACCTGGATGGCGCAAGTTTTATTCAGTGGTCAATACTAGTACTTGCACAGAAGTGACATACGTACCTGATTATTAGCTTCCGGATTTCTCAAGGCTGATGTCTTGTTAGAGTTCACTTGTGCACGCAGGGAAGGCAAACTTACTTTCAACTAAAGACTTCTCTTTCTCTGGCCAGAGTAGAATCTCGGCGCCATCTTCTACATCATCTCCACACACGTCCCACAGCCTACCATTCGCAAGGTTACGAATCACGAAGTATCCTGGAGGAAATCCATAGAGCTGAGCATTAGCAGACATGGTGGTGTGGTCAAGGGTGGGCGGGGCGATCACACACAGCAAGTGCGCCAGAAAGGGAAAGCTCCTGGTTTCACCTACTACTAGGAAGGTACCACCTGTCGTTCTCCATTGCATGATACATAGTGCATGATTTTCTGTTCTATGCTGCTTCGCAGGCTGCAGCTGCATTCTCAGCCTGAGCACTGCGCAGCCAATTATGTCTTGGAGAAATCCTGTCTCCTTTAACCTTCGGGGCATCTTTCTAGTAGTTTTCCCGGCCATTGCATTCTGTTGGGGTAAATCAGGGTAATTCGCCATCTACTTTCAACGTCGAGTAAGTACTAGTATGATAGACATCGATAGTACGGTACTGATGAAACAATTTTGAGCTCCGCACTAGAAAAGTCGATCTGAGGTTTTTCAATCGTACCCTACTCCGCAATTCAACATCTCGATGAGACTGTGGGAGCTCCGACTCGTCGAGTCAGTATTATGATCAAGGAGCTCTAATTCCGAGAAGTGCAATCCTCGTCAGAGTCTGGGACAAATATCCTGCTCACGCCAGGCGGTATAGTAGCCGTGGTTGTCGAAGGGCAAGAAAAATTATAAATCGACAGCTACTGGATACGGATAGAGAGCCTGTCTTGTTGTCTGCGACTTCAAAGTTCTGTGGAAGTTTGTTGCATACGGTAGGTTATCATGAAGTTGGAAGCCCTTTTGACTAAAGTTGGCCATTCATTCACCGGATCAAAATGCGGAGATCATTGGCGTCAAGACTTTGTGGCAAAAAGTTAGTCAACTTCTACGACTATTCATATTGCTCATCCCGTGGTTCAACGTTCAACAGCGTTCAGTGACGCCATCGGTATATGACATTCTCTTCCCCCAGATAACGCATACACTAGGAGATTCAATATGTAAGCCAAACAGCTTCCTCGACCCTCGGAGGCATATATAAACGCGTCACCAAGGACTCTGCTATTCCTTGGAATGCACATTCCAGCACCAATGAACTAGCCATGGCTTCTGACACAACCGCTACCTCCAACTACTCCTTTCTCCACCTAACGACTCTTCGAGTCGACCTTACCTCGATATGAATAGCGAAAGGCAGGTTCGCAATTGGTTTGACGACCCTCACGACATGCAGACGACGACGGCCTCCACTTCCGGCCTCCATTCGCATCCTCCACCAACAGAAGTTCCCTCCCCTCTTCGCAGTCACTTCCAAATCGTTAACCTCTGGCATCGCATGCAGATGTAGAGATTGTTCACTTGCACTATGAGAACAATGACGAATTTTTTTCTTTTCAAATTGTTAGCGTATCAGCTCGGTGGCACTTTTCATCACACTAAAGGTCTCAGCTTTGACTCAGTGCGAGATGGTAGTGTTGCGAGACTTATCCCTCGCAGTGCCTTCCAAGACCCGAAAGCTCAAGAGGGAACGCCGCCTTGGGAGTCCATCGAGATGTGTCGCTGTATTTTGCCGATTCTACTCTTCCGACGTTTCGCACAATCCCACGGCTCGCACCATGACTGACACTGTCAATGTATTCATGACAAGGATGCAGGGAATATGGATGCTTTCGACAGTGGCAACGCTACATGGGTCGAGAAACCCCTCTGAATCTGCAGTCCAATCGGCGGCAGCCAGCCTCTCATTCAAAGGCACACCCTCCAGAGGCACAGCCCATGTTGCAACAAGATGTACATCGGAGGGCATCTCTGGTCTGGCGTCGAATGTCTTTTGCCTAGTTGTCCTTTTCAGCCAGCTAAACTACCGAGTCCATCACTGGAGCTCCAGTAGAATAAATGCGCATGTCCGTGACATGTAGCTCATTGTCATTGTAAGCAGAAGAAATTGACCAGTCCACAACAATGCGGTCGAACCAAGCGTCAAACAATTGGTACCGTGAACGCGATACAATGACTGACTGTACAATACATGTAAATATCCAGGTGAAGGTATGATATCACAGGCGTCACGCCTGTTCTTGACATCCTCTAGTCATCCTCTTCGACATCAAACGCACCAGGAACTCGTAATGTCTGTCTGGTACGCGTAGCCCGTTCGCTGCGCTCTATGTTCTGCTTCTCTATCCAATCCTCCAGACCGTACGACATCTTAGAGAGACCTCTCCATTCATGACGCGCAACAACACTCTTCGGCGGTGACCGACCCCCGTCCCAACCAGCGCTCATCATCATTGGTTCCTGTAACAATCCTTATCAGCGAAATCGGCCAAATGGTTAAAAGATGGACTGACATTGCTGTTCCAGCTGACATCTCGCACGCAAACCGTACCGCGAGTATTGGGGAGTATGCACTCCTCCGCGAAGGGATCAAGTGTCATGGCCGACGTCTTCGAGCGATCCAGAACCTGGACTATGCGTCCGTCGAGCGACCATATCTAGAAGTAACGTGTGTCAGATATACAAGGAAGTCGATTGTAATTGGACCCTGACGTGTATTTTCCCGTCTGCCGAACCGGAGTAAATATATTGTCCACCTGTCGTCTCAGCAGGACTAAAGTGACATCGGATAAGTGTGCGTAAGACAGCATGACCTCTGTAGGTCATGACGCTACAGTCACGCGGGTGTGCAGCATGTTTTGGTTTCGAGTAATGACCGTAGCTTAGCAAGACGGTTGAGGTTCATTCTCACTCAAGTTAAGACCTGAGTGAACGCACCGGTAATCAAATCCACGTGACCTGTAGTCGCGGTTAGCACCATTGTCGAAGTCCTCGCTGCTGCACATCTTCCGCAAATCCCACAACCGTAGTGCCTGATCCTTTCCGTTCGATATGATATAACGACCGTCACCTTTCGCCGAGACGTTGGTGATACCTTCTGTATGTCCCACCAAGACTCCTGACGGTTTTTGTGATGCACCTAATGAACGCCGGTCCCTTTTGCTCATATAAGTAGAATAAAGGTCGACGAACCTGCGTAGAACTCACCAAACTTTCAAAAATGTGTCATCAGAGGCACTGATTAGCACATTCCCCGATGCAGTGTCAGCCCAACAACAGCTATTTACGTCGTCTTCGTGTGCAATAATCTTGACTGTCCTACGGTCAGCCAAGAGATCATAAACTGAGGTGGAGCGTCTATGAGACATCCAAGCTCAAAAATAAAATAAAGTCTACCAAATATTTGACCGCTGCCACCAGCCACGACCTCATTTCCATCTGCAGAGAACCTGCAGCTCCAGATGCCAAACGAGTTTTCATCATCCCAGCCCCAGTGTGTGCGAGCCCGTTGACGGTGATTAGGTTCCTGAAAGCTGATGGGAGTCTGAGTAACTGATGAGTCGAGTGTGCTTGTCATATACACCGTGGGTGACTAATTTCTGTTGAAGTTGATAGAAACTACTGAGCCATTCCACTTACAATCGACGAATAAATCATTCTATGAGAACGTAAGCATGACCTGAAAGAAAGATGCAATCACTTGCCTTTCGTTGTTAGGACTCAAATGAGAATCTGTTATCGTCCAACGACCAGCAGACCCCTGTATAGTCTTCAATATCTTGAGGGTTGTGTCATGGTCGCAGTCGCTATCATCCCAAACACCTGTAGCGCTGCGACGTAGGTTCCTTGGTCGCTTCATGTATGGCGAAGGAGGCGAAGTCATGTCATAGATGTGAAGACGAAAATCTCGAGAGGAGTATGAATTGCTGTCCCACAAGAGCAGCATACCACACACCTTGACAGCAGGTGTAGTAAAACGAAGAATCTATCGAGTGACATCAAGTGGTGAACCAGAAATGGAACAAGTAGTTGTTCACCTCTCGAGAATTGCCCGCAGTAAACATTTGCGGTGTAGGATGCAACGGCAACTCCGTTCGTATTCGGAATGAGTTCCTGTAATGAGTTCAGGTATATGCATGAAATACCAGAGAGTAACGCACACTAGTCATATTCTCTCTAGAAATTGCTCCTCGGGGTCGCGAAGACTGGCCGAGGATCATTTGCGAAATGTTCCTCTGGTTTCTCTTGCTCCTTAACTTCGAACTCACAGAACCAAATTCTCCTCCCATGAGGAGCTCAACGCCTGGCTGCTGGGGTTCCTTGTGCGGAGGGAACCACACCTGGTGCCATTCTCCTACGTTTTCACTTTCTTCTTCTTCGTCGTCTTCTTCATAATCAGTGGGAGAGTCCAGAGAACGTGGATTCAGCAAATGATGCAAGTCCTGGATACCGATGGTCCTGAGCTGTCGGGGTTCACTGCTGTTACCGTCACCACCAGTGTCAGTCCGGTGTACATTTTGCGAGTTAAATAACGCTACAGGTTAGCGGCGGATGAGCGGGACATATCCTGCAGCGAGTGAACTCACATAGGAATATTTGGGGCAGCATAGGTGATTCCTGTACCACGACTCCGGTGCGCTCCTGTATCAAGTCCTGTAGGTCCTCTAAATCCAAGAGACTATCATCATCTTCCTCATCGACATATGCGTCGGGACCATCATAATCATCATCATTTTCTTCGAGCATCTCGAAATCGATTCGATCGTACTCAGACATGATGCGCAAGATCGAACTGTGTTAGTGTTAGTGAGAAAGATTTGGCAGCCTGGGCGCAACTTAGTAAGTGCGGTTATCCAATGGTTATCTCTGCCGTATAGACTCAAGCCACGTGAATACCTCTCCACGGACCCGGTGAGTCAGATTGCCCGTCGGACTGAATGCACCGTGACGCGGGGTCTTGACCTTAAAGCATGATATCTGCCTCCGCGGAGAGGTTTGTACTAGACAGTGACGGATCATAATAAGTGTCTACCTCCCTACGAGGAGTCACCGCAATGCAACATTAGTAGACCCAGCAGGCTGCCGCATATCATTCACGAGGGCTACAGAAAGCACATTCGTTTTACCATGAATACACAAAAATGAGTTCGAAAGTTCAAGCATTGAATTTGAGTGGAAAGCTACGTAGAAGCGACTTTGTCTCCTTAGTATGATTTGCAACTCCGCCACATAATTGCTTGACCTTGCTAAGCTAGCTTGATTCAACGCATACATATCACTGAGAGCAGCAGCCATGCCGGCGCCCCTTCTCATCACAGCGGATCAGGTCAATTGCCTCATACATGCTTATTTTTTAGATTCTGGTGCCGTTCCGACGATTCTTCTTGCTATCTGTGTCATCTGACTTGTTGGCCCAGGCTTCCAGCATTCTGCTTTTGCCATACGAATGGAAGGTCGTCTCGACCAGTCACCTCACATCAAGAAGCATATTCCACGCGGCGAACTTATCGAACTTCTCAGCAAAGCGCTCCTTTATTCCGAGGTCGAGGCCCATTGGAAGGGAGACGAGTTGTCTACAAATTGTTCAGTTCCATTTTCACTCTTAGACCCTCACGCTTGTTCGCTCCAGCCTCATTCTTCCACAAACAATATTCGCGAGCCAAGTGCTGCCAAAGTAAATGGTGATACCGCCGGCAAAAGGAAGGCGACGACTCCTTCTGAAGATGCCCGCGCTGAGAAGAGAGCAAGGAAGGAGCAGGACGAGAAAGATGCGCAAATGAACGTCGACGGTGCGTTCATTCCGTTGTTAATTCCCCTCTGTCCTCAATTATCACAGGTGCACCCACGCCAAAGCCAAAACCGAAGGATGCTAAGTCAGACCCACCGCAAGCCTTACAAGAACCTCCCACCAAGAAGCTCAAACACAAACCTAGTGTTGTTGGAGCACGTCCTGGTGCTGTCCGGTTCTTACTGGCTCACAAGACTGAAGTGTGCATCAATACATTACTCTCGACGCCCTGTTCACGATCTTCTCTTAGGTTTTCGTTGTCGCGTGGAATCCTGCTACAAAAGGCCAGCTAGTCTCTGGGTGTGCTTCTTATGGTGTTGATTTTCTGTTTGTGCAATTTACCTCTTACTACCCAGGTCGCGTGATGCTGTTGTGAATTATTGGGCCGTGCCCAGTGGACCAAATAATGATCACACAGCCCCCATACAACCCACCCTAACTCTACCAGACTTGACTCTAGATTCACAGGCTGATTTGACAGCATTAAACTGGAATCATGATGGCTCACTCGTAGCTATCGGATCCTATGATTCCATCCTCAGAATTTGTACAGCGAGTGGCGAAACATATTTCAAGGATAGTCACCATAAGGTATGATAGAACGTAAATCCTTCTTTCTTCTTATACATGTTCGGTAGGGTCCCATATTCGCTGCGCAATTTTCACCTTCTGGCCAATGGATCGCCACAGCTAGTTTAGACTGCACCTCATGTGTCTGGGATGTCAAGCAAAAACGAATACATCGACAGTATCGTAGTCACGGAGGTATGTCATTGGACTACGGCAGTTGGTGTCCTGTTGAACTCGAGGGAAAGATGCTTGCTGCTTGGATGTAGAGTGGCTGGACGATTCAACTTTCGCAAGTTGCGGTGCAGACAAAGTCGTTCACATCCTATCCTTGACAGCTACCGGGCCATTGCATACTCTCGAGTAAGTTTTCATGCACACAAAACACGTTGAAAAACTTGATGTTCTTTAAGGGGCCATGCAGGAGAGATCAACTCTGTCAAGTGCAATCCTTCTCGAACACGGCTAGCATCATGTGCGGACGATGGCACCGCACGTATATGGAACATCGAAAACGTACATTCCGAGAAAGCTCTACCACCGCCTGTAATACTCAGTGGCCACCAACAATGTCTCACCTCCATAGAGTGGTGTCCTGTCACTGCACCTGGTGAGCCTGAACTGGTTGCAACGTAGGTTTAGGCTGTGGCCTTGATAAATATTCGCTTTCTAACATATATACTAGAGCCTCGTTTGATGCCACTGCCCGACTATGGGATACTGTCACTGGAGCTTGTACTAAGGTCTTTGCGGACCACACCAAACATGTCTACGCCGTTACCTTCAGCCCAGACGGGCGTCACCTCGTCACTGGCGGAGGTGATGGTTCGTTGATTGTATACGAAGTCAAGGCAAGTCGTTTCGCTCTCCCAAATTTCATTTGCTGAAACCGAGCCATTCAGTCGAAGGAGAAGAAATGGTCATGGTATACTGGCGAGAAGTCTGGCATATTCGAAATTGACTGGCAGAGTTGGGGGAATACCAGTTTGATTGCGTTGGCTCTGGAACGTCAGATGGTGGCTATTGTTGATCCTGGCAAGGTGCCAGCGCTTCAGAGTTCTTGATCGTCGATGGTCTTTCCTACCTACCTGGACTGCATTATATTATTATTATTGCGCTATGTACCGCTGTTGCTAATCAGTTTGCTCTGCTCCTGATTGGTGCCACCACGGTGACGTAGTTCGCACGCCGTCGGCAAGTGTTCCGTTATAATTCTGTGTCAGTATTTGCATGGTCTCTTTAACGTTCCCCTCGTCTCGTTTTCGTTATAATGTTGTATCTTGGTCTGTCGTCGACTTTACGCTCTTCTCTGCGTAGTAATGTGGCAAAGGCAATCGTACGGCCCCATGTGCAGCCCTTCTCGATGCGCACACAATCAAATAATGCGAACATACGGAGTGTGTTGCAAAACCGCCCGACCGTCTTGTCACCCACTCTGCTCTCCCGGTTCTCGCGTTCTGTCACAACGGATGCGCAAACTGTGACAGCCTCTTCATCGCAAGATGCTTGGAAGCGTTTCGGAATCACAGCGGTAATATGGCCTGAAATCATGATGTTCCTCTCTCTGACTCGGATACGCTTCGGCTCATTAGGCTGTTGTTGCGGGCGCCGTCATTCTAGCAGAAGGCTTCTTGAACAGAGACACACGCGATAGATTGAGCCCAGCTGAACAATCCTACTTACATGAAAGTTTCATGTACACAGGGGCTGGCCTGACATTGACTGCAGTTGCCGCCCGGAGTTTGTTTAGGTCCGGTGTCGCCTTCAGAATCATGTCCGCGAACCCTTGTGAGCTTGAAGATGAGAGTAGCATGGAACAATTCTGAAGCTCTATTTGCAGGGGTGGTACTCGGTGTCAGTCTTGCGGGTAGCATCGGATCCATGATGGGTGTCTTCTACACGCCACCGGAGCAGACCTTCCAGAAGCACGTTTTTTGGCTGGTATATTTGATCACACAGGCTTCTAGCATCTGAGCTGATTGTGATACAGGCATTTAATGCGTGTCAAGCTGCAACCCTAAGCCCGCTCTTCTTCCTGAGCCCTGCCATTTTATCTCGCGCAGCCCTCTACACGTGTGGCGTGGTTGGTTCTCTTTCATTCGTGGGCGCCACAGCCAAGTAAGTTTCGTACTTGTTGTGAGTAACTGAAATTAAATAGCACTTAGGAATGACAAATATCTGTACATGGGTGGACCGCTGTTGGCTGGTGTCACAGTCGTCGCTTTGAGTTCACTCGCTCCACTTGCCCTCCCGTTAGGTATGCGTGGCCTCGCTGTTGCGGAAAGCCTCTCCCTTTATGGAGGTCTTGCCGTCTTTGGTGGGCTCGTACTCTATGAGTATGCCTCTGATTCATTTCATATCCGGTCATTAACTTATTTCCCTCAGCACCCAAAAGATTTTACAACACGCACGTATGGCGGAGATGGGAGTCGTTCCCAGGGATCCCATAAAGGAATCTGTTGCCCTTGAGCTCGATATGATCAATATCTTGTAAGTGATTTCAAATTTTGCGTCATGGCATCTGGCTCAAGTTTTTCCCTCAGTATTCGCCTTGTTCAAATCCTGGCTATGCGCCAAAATAACCGAAAGTGATTGACTGACGGGTAATCGGTCCCCGATTGATATGGTTCACCGCTCAGCATTCATGCCTGGTATCACCACGTTTATAATCTATCTCAAAGTCCAATGTATTATTAGCTAGGGGAATACGATTTTGTATCATGCAGTAGATCTCCCAAGATCCTGAAGAATACTGACAAATGCACCTGGATCAATGATCTCTGTGCCGCCATAGGTGACGCGTTTTCCAGTCTTCGCAGCCCATTCCTCCAAGTTTCCATACTCGACATAACCTGCCCCTCCAACTATAAATACCATGCCCTCTGCAAATGCCATCCGCTTCGCTCTAGCTGTTCCAGACGCGCCGCCTCCTGGACCACCTGTACCTCCTGAAAGACCGAGGCCAGTGTGTCGAGAGGCTCGGGGGTCAAGGAAAATGTAATCATCTGTTTCTTGCAGCGACTGGTTCGAAGCTGCAGACGAGTCCATGATCGCCTCAGTAATTCGGGTAACAGGAAGCAATTTGTTCGCCGGTAGGAAGTTCTTGACACCCGAGATAAGATTGTCGAGACCTCCTTCTTTGAGTCGGTCAGTGAGCTAGATAATAAAAATGTTACAATCTGTCTGGAGAACTAAGGATAATACTGACTCTATTTCCGAATGCTGTGAAGCCCCTGAAGAGTTCTCCTTGGCCTGCACCGAGTACGGGCGTCGAGGTTCCTCCAACAGCAGTAGCCACTGTCATCCGCGAGATCTCCCTTGTGCGTCTGACATATTCAAATGATTCGGTATCAGCTCCTGCATTCTTTAACTCCTTTTCCAACTCGACAATGTCGTCCTTCGAGATCGCGTTATCTGGTGAAGACAAGTAGAAGACAAGAACTAGGCGCAGTTTATCCTCCGGTGTCAAGGTGCCGCTTGAACGAGGAGAGCGGAGCATCTCCAAAACTGAAGCAACGGTCTAGATATCAATTAATATGGAGGAATATCGAGATAGCTGGATGAGGCCGCACCTGTTTGCTGATGGCCTCTTCGGTGCTGAAAAGTTCATCAAGCGCACGCTTCTTGATCTGCTCCAGCAATGCGGTGGCTATGTTCATATGGGTGTCGAGAACGGCCTTCCGCGCAGTCAGTTCTGGTAGCTGTGTGATCGCAGTTTTCAAGTGTGCAGCATTGGAAGATACATCACTACAATTCATGTCAATAAACACGACGGCGAAGCTTGAAGAGCATGTACATTTGCGAGATGTCATTAACATCACTGACACCCGTAGATCGCGTGATCTCGGCAGCATCTTGCTTGTATTTGTTCAGTTCCGTGTCGATCTCTTCAGCGACTTGAGGGAATGGGTTTGGTGCATTCTTTGCCCAGAAGAAGTCCTTAGAATCGAGATCATATGAGCGCTTCTGTGGTTGAGTAACAACTACGCGATTGAGCTTGATCTCTAGACAATCAGACACTAGGGCTTGATACGTCCATCCATGGCAGATCATCGAAACGAGATCAATATTTCTGTCAAGAATCAGCAGCACTGGAACGGCGTCAGTAGTTTAACACCACGAAGAATAGAACGAACACACGTGGTCGTTGCAGATTCGACAAGCCAGATGCATCTTGCGCGAATAATGATGACGTAGCCCCATGAGTTCGGGAGGCCGAAAGAATCGCATCTCGTATTTTGATATCGAGTTTTTTTGCTATCATCTCCGCAGCATTGCCTTTGGGCGCGCGGATAATTGGAACATGGCCTTATCCGTGCGATATTCAAGTCACCCATCGACGATACATCAATATACCGCACTCACCCATTGTAACAACAGCACTGAAGAGACCATTGGATATGCGCTCAATCTCCCCTTCTATCTGTTGTTCGGTGGATGATGGGGAGTTCAGGAGTGTGTAAGATGTTACAGGTGCCTTGGACGGCCCTGCTTGACTAGATGGCGTAGTAGAAGGAAGCGGTGACAACAATGAGAATAGTGAGGGAGAGGGTGCAATGAATGATAGATATTGGTCGAGAACCTGGAAACATGCATCAACACACTGAAAACAGAATGACATGCGCAAGATACTCGCCTGTTCAACCAGGTCACCTGTTCCGGCACTCGCGACAGAGCCTGCCAGCTCTTCTAGCAAAGCACGGGGAAGGGGTTCTACAAAGTTGAGGTGGAAGGACTCATACAAGCATTTGTCGAGGTCTTCAGCTATCCGTTTCACATTGTCGAGCGTGGGGGCAACAAAATAAATGGCCGGAACGTCTGGTAGTGGAGGCCGTAAAGAATGTAATTGTCTATGCAGAACTTAGATGCGAGCAATATCACAAAAATGATTGGTACTTACACATGGAGCGTGACGCCGACGTCACGAAGATCTTGTACTCGAAGAACAGTTGCCAATACGTCTTTCGTTTGTTGGTCTAGTACCAAGACCTTCCATACGGGAGGTCCAGTGACTGCTGGAACCTTGAGCCCAGTCGAAGCTTTTCCTGACGGTGTTCCCGGTCGTTGAACGGGACTCGGATCGGACGAAGCGTTCAGGTTAAGCAGCGCGAGCAATGCAGCTGTTTGTGCTTGCTGCAATGTTGTTGGTGCGGTTGCCTGGGCCGCCGACCTGTCAGTACCAGCAACACAAAAGACTGATCTTTGAGAACTTACATGCTTCAGAGCAGTACTTGCCATTTGAATGTGCCCTGCTTGATTCTACGCGAAAGACCAGTACTTAGTGTAGCTTTCAACACGCCGCCACGTGGATGTTTTGTTAGGTGACCAGAAAGGCAATCCATCATTTCATTGTTCAACTTCCCTCTGACTGCTCCAAGCTAAATTTGATTCGCGTTCTGTATCAGTAAGGAGTTTCTCAACTAGGTGTATAACTACTGATACCACTAAGCAGGATTCGCTGCTCGGAAATACTAGCGCCAAAATTTAAATGGTGATTTCGCTCGCCCCATTGCCATGCACAGCTTTTGACTTGAGATAAATTTACTTTGGAGCCCTGACCTGACCCCCATCATGATCTAATACTGCCATGTCACATTGATTGATGCTACTGGCCCAATGTTGGCCGAACCTCCCAAGCACCGCCGCGCATCACGCATCTCACACCGGCACCGCAGTTGCGAGGGGGAATTTGTTGAGGTCTCAAAACCCTGAGTGCAGTGGCATCTATATACACCGTCTTTCGTTGATCCCACCAGTGACTTAGTCTTCGTGCTTTCACGTACCTTCAAAGCAATCTGTAAGATTTAAGTTCGGATATGAGGTATTTGATGCTCATCATCTACTGTTCAACAGCTAGTCACATCCTTTATACCATGGGTGGATCACAGAGCAGGCCGCGGAATCACCATTACAAGGAACATGCCGTTGCTTCTTCACGGCCTGCGTTTAAGTCCTGGTCGCTCAAACGCAGACAAAAGAAGAAACGGAACCATTCGAAACACGAATTGACAAATCTAGTTGAAAGAGAATCCGCTCCATGGGTCGGAGGTCATAAAGTCTTTGTAGTCCTTGAGGACGGGCAGGGGATGTTTGTTCATCGAGATGCGCTATGACCATGCACGACAAGTCTTATGCATCGTGCTAAGCACCCGTTCGTGTTCACGAGTAAGTTCTAGTATCTGTCCAGGAAACACGTCATTTTGATGATAAAACGCAGCTATATGTACTCATATTCTGATTTCATGATTTGTGTATGTCGCAATCAAGGGCGCGCCAAAAGGCTGACGTTCACATGACCATGCGATGTTTTTGTTCTCGCTAAGACTGGTCTGTGTTTCTATTCATAACTTATATCTGGTGCATTTGTACTTTTATTAATTGATTGTCCTGGAAACTACAGTATCACTGAAGGAGCACATGTAGTAAAGTAGTCCCAATATTGCACACCGCAGGTCAACCGTAAGTAAGGTCCTGGCAGGAGTCGGAGTCCGTGCGCAGGATGCCGCGACACCCGAGGCGTAAATAACATTCTATTTTGAGTCCTTGTAGCAACGTTCTTAAACTGAGAAGAATGAACAAGGTCGGTTGGTGTGAGCATGAAACAGGAGGCAGACTTCTGCTCGGTTACTATTAACCGAATATGGTGTTGGTCGGTTCATCATTTAGAAATTTTGAACCTTCTTACGACCCGCGGTCACCGAAACGAAATTGTCAATCTCCACTGAGTTACTCATTCATTACCTACTTGTTCTATACCCGCCCAGCCAAGGGCTCTTATGACTTTTCACGCAGACGCCGGTTTGGCGCTACGACCTAGACGACTTCAAGCGGATGGTCAAAGCCAAGGGTGGTCCGAAACTGCCTCTGGAACTACTCATTCACTCACTCCTTCTGCTGAACTATCACCCATATTGAATTTGCTGTCTGTACCACCAAACCCTGGTGATTCAATGTTTTCTTCAAGCCCATACCCCGTGATGTATACCCCTTCATACCCCACTGTAACCCAATTAACCTCAATATTTGTGCCATATTCAACTGCTGTTGTTTCGGGATCCGACTCTTCATCTCATGTCTTTTCGTATCGAAGTGCTGCCCAGATTCAGCCTATATGCATCGGAGATGGCCTAGATTCAACTTCGGACGGAGTAATCGCGACTGTGGTGCTTCCAACAAGTGTCGGCCTTGCCGTTTGGGTAAGTTATCACCCGGTAATCCTCTGTTGTGCCTGTAGACTCAATTGGTCTGGCAGCTGCTGTTTGCTGTACTACGTCCACGTTACCGACAAATATATGCGCTCAGAGAGTGGTTCGTGCAACAAGAGTAGGACGCTGGTATCTATGAAGCAGTATATACTAACTCATCTGCAGGCTGCGACCGCATCGGTTAAGCTCGAATCTCGGCGCGTTCCTCTTTCCCTCTGTACCACTTGTTCCACCTATACCTTCAGATGTCCCCGACACTGGAAGGTCAGTTCCAGCGCGCGCTCGCCTATTTCCATCCGACGAGGAGTTGAGCCAACGAATTCTGTGGACATGTCTCATAGTCGTGCTTGGCTGGAGTTTAGTGGGCCTTGTCGGCGCCTTGCCGATATACCTCGTGTCTACGCCATGCCTTGCGCACTTGTCAGGTGACCCTGATTTTGCCGGAGTTTA